TGGGGGGGGGGGGATAGAGGGCCGGGGAGCTGCTGAGGGGTGTCCAGCGCCCTGGGAGGGATCCTCAGGGCCTGACCAGCCTGACTCATGCAGATCCCGTGCACTGGCACTGTGCCCGGCAGGCTCGGGCTGCACAGTGCTCCCTCCCACCCCCGCCTCTGGGGTTCCTGCTGCCCTTCCATACCCCTGCTCAGCTCCCCCTGCTCTGCCCTGGCTTCCTCACCCCGACTCTCCCGGGGGTGCGTGCAGAAGGGCACCCCCTCAGGTCCCCCACCAGCCTGCTGCACACACTGCGCCCAGGGCCAGGCCAGCTTGGACCTCACAGGAGCTGTGTGAAGCAGGGTGAGCATCCGGGGCCCGGACAGAGGCGGAACCCTGCAGGAGACGGCCCGGGGTGGCCACTTAGGAGAGGAAGTGAGGGTGTGCCTGTCCCGAGCTGAAACGTGGGGTCACCTTCCTGCCGCACAGGCAGCCGTGGACGGGTATGGCCCAAGGGACCCGCGAGGCCTGGACGGAGATGGGGTGTGGAGGTGCAGCTCCCCCCTGGGGGCTCCAGCCAGAAGGGCTCGGGTCCATTCCAGGTGACCGTTCCTTCCTCGGGACTGTGCACCCCTATCCCAGCCAGATCTTGGCCTTTACTATGGAAGGGGAGAAAATAGGCAGGGGTTCAGAATACTCCAGCTTAGGAGTTGGGCCAACCTGGGTAGTAGAGATGAATACCCCCCTACACACACACACACACACACACACACACACACACACACACACGGAGCCTTCAGGGACAGTGCTGAGCTGTAAGTCTCGGTCTCTGAGGTCACCAGGACCCCTGCCCCGGAAGCAAGCCCCGAGGACTTTCTGGAGGAGGCAGCCTGGAATTAGCATCAGAAGGTGGAAGGATGTGGTTTACTTACTCACCGTCAGCAGTTAACCTGGGGGGGCTCCCCGGTGCCACTCCTGGTGCACAAAAGTGAAACGGAGTTGTGGACGGGGCTGGCCCAGCCCGGCCCAGGCCTGGGATGGGGTGGGGGGGTGTCAGAGAGAAGCCACTTCCTCCTGTGGGTTTCTTCAACTGTGAACGACAGGGCGGGCCCAGGGCTCATGGTGGGCAGGACTTGAGGGCAGCGGGGCGGGATGACAGTGGACACTCCGGAGAGGGGCTGGAGGGGAGGAATGGGGGAGAAACTGGGGTGAGGGGGTCTGTTGGGGTAATGCCGTCTCACCTGGGTGGGGGGAGAGGGAGCCCCTCCTGTGGCAATGCTGTTGGAGAGGGTGACATTCGCCTCTGCTACCCTGAGCTGGGGGCAGCCAGGGTGCATGGGGGTCGCCGGAGGCCTGGGCAGGAGGAGGCGGGGCCTTGTCTGTGCCTGCTCTGCTTGAGGGAGGGGCGAGGGCCCTGTGGTCAGAACACGGATATGTGCGTATGTGTGTCATGCCAGCCGGAATGTAGCCTGGCGTTGGGAGCCACACCATTGGTGCTCAGGGCTCACTCCTGGCTCTGTGCTCAGGCATCACGCCTGGTGGGGCTCAGAGGCCCATCTGGGGTGCCGGGGACTGGATTGGGGTTAGCTGGGTGTAGGCAGGTACCTTAACCCCTGTCCTATCTCTTTGGCCCCAGGAATATATTTATTTTTTTAAATTTAATTTTAATTTTAATTTATTTATTTATGTTTTGGCTTTGGGGGCCACACTCAGAAGCTCAAGGAGTACTCCTAACTCTGTGCTCCAGGGGTCATTCCCTCGCAGTACTCAGGGGACCACAGGTATCAGTCCCCAGGATCAGACCCTTGGCTCCTGAATGCAAAAGCATTGAACTGTCTGTCTGACCCAAGCAATATATGTGTCTGGTTGAACCTGGGTTAACCATGTGCAAGGCAAGTGCCCTATCCACTGTACGATGTCTCCGCCCCTCCCCTCCCAATATATATATATATTTTTTTTTGCTTTTTTGGGGCTGGAGAGATAGCACAGCGGGTAGGGCGTTCGCCTTACAAGCGGCCAACATGGCCGACCTAAGTTCGATTCCTCCGCCCCTCTCGGAGAGCCCAGCAAGCTACCGAGAGTATTCGATATGCCAGACACAGTAACAACAAAGTCTCCAATGGAGACGTTGCTGGGCCCGCTCGAGTAAATCGACGATCAACGGGAGGGCCTTTACCTTTACCTTTGGGTCACACCCGGCGATGCACAGGGGTTACTCCTGGCTCTGCACTCAGGAATGACTCCCAGTGGTGCCCAGGGGACCATATGGGATGCTGGGAATCGAACCTGGGTCGGCCGCGTGCAAGGCAAACGCCCTACCAGCTGTGCTATCAATCCAGCCCCCCAATATATTTTTAAGTAAAAATTAATGCAAAGAACAGTGCATGGTAAAGCAATGCCATTTTGTTTCTTTTGTACCCACACCTGGTGGTGCTCAGGGGTTACTCGGGGACCGCTGTCAGCAGTGCTTGGAACCGCACAGGGCCGGGATGTGCTGCAGCCGGAGACGTTTCCAATGGCGCTTCAGCCCCGTGGATTCCTGCAGGCGCTGGTGTGACTCAGCTGGGCACCTCTTCCCGGCAGCCCTCCCTGACTGCCCAGCTGCTGTCTCAGCTGCCTGTGACTGGCTTTTGCTTCCAGGGGCTGGAATGGGGCTGGACCATCCCCATCCCCTCAAATGGGAGGGGCATCTCTGGGAAGAACCTGGGCCTGCCCACGGCCTGAGCAGGACCTTGGGAGAGGCCCCGAGGAGCCCGCCGTTCTCAGGGACAGAGTGGTTTCCTGTTTCCCATTTCGTCCTCTGTCAGGGCCGAGGCCCCTGCGCTGCCTGAGCTGTGTGAGTTCAGAATGGCTGCAAGACGGGAGCCCCACCATCCGGTGGAAGCACCACGTGGGCCACGAGTGGGCTCTGTAGCCTACCCTCCGTTAGAAAGAATCAGGCTAGGGGCTGACACCATCGGACAGTGCAGAGGGCACTTGCCTTGCACACGGCCAGCCCAAGTTCAGTCCCCCGCATCCCATATAGTTCCCTGAGCCCTGCCGGGAGTGATCCCTGGAATGGGGCTGGACCATCCCGATCCCCTCAAATGGGAGGGGCTTGAGCCTGAGGGGCATGAGTGCTGAGCCCTGAGCATCACCAGATGTGTCCCCAAAACCAAGGTAAAAGGTAAGGTAAAGGCCCTCCCGTTGATCGTCGATTTGCTCGAGCGGGCCCAGTAACGTCTCCATTGGAGACTTTGTTGTTACTGTGTCTGGCATATCGAATACTCTCGGTAGCTTGCCGGGCTCTCCGAGAGGGGCGGAGGAATCGAACTCGGGTCGGCCATGTTGGCCGCGTGCAAGGCGAACGCCCTACCCGCTGTGCTATTGCTCCACCCCAAAACCAAATAAAACAAAAATGAAAAGACCCAGAGGAGGGACTGAAGAGATAGTACAGCAGGTCAGGCACTTGCCTGGCACACAACAGACCAGAGCCAGTCCCCAAGCCTTGTATATGGTCTCCCAGGCCCCGCCAGGAGAGGTCCCTGAGCACAGAGCCAAGAGTAAGCCCTGAGCAGCACCAGCTATGGTCCCTGAAAAAAACTAACACCTTCCCCCACCAAAAAAAAAAATAATAATAACTAGGTGAGAGGCCGAGACAGTACCGCAGGTAGGCATGCCTTGCGCGCAGCTGACCCTGAGTGATCCCAGCACCACATATGGTCCCTTCGGCTCTGGCAGGGTCGCCCCTGGCTGTCATGCTGCGTCAAGCAGCGGCGACCACACTCAGACTGCCCTTGCCGGGCTCTGGGGTTCACGCAGACTGCTTTTCTGTGTCTCAATGCCTTTCCCTTAAAGTACCGCAGAGGAGGCTGCGAAGAGGGAGTAAGTTCGTATAAAGCGCCTGGTGGGTGGAGAGGGTCGTCTCTGTCATCTGCCCTTCTGTTTGAGCAGATCTGCTGGTTTTTTTTTTTTTTTTTTGCCAACTTCCTCTGAAGTACGAATTAAAATGCATTTCCGGGCCAGAGTGGTAGCACAAGGGCTTGAGGCACTTGCCTTGCGAGCAGCCGACCCTGGTTCCTTCCCTGGCATCTCTTACGCTCTGTCTCCCCCTGGGCACCACCGGGCACCATGTGGGGTTCCAGGGAGGGAACGGAATCCTTTCCTGAAGGACATGTTGAAAATGTTCTCCAGTGTTGACCTGTTTCGGGCGCATCCTGAGAAGCGGTGTGGCTTCTGAAGAGAACCCCTCCCTGCCTCATCAGCCACTTCGGCCCCTCCCCAACCCCCAAGCCCCCTGCCGAGCCTGCATCTGCCTCAGCCCAGGGCAGCACATGCCTCCTGTGCTCTGACCCACGTCCCTGGCAGCTGCAAACACCCCTTTTTTAGGAGAGCAGGCCACTGTGGTATCGTGCCCTATTGCAAGAGGCCTTCCTCACCCCACTGGGCCGAGTGGAGAGGGTCCCACTGAGAGGGGCCTCTGCTGTCACAGAGCTGCATTGTCCCTTCCTAGCCAACCCCACATGTGTCCACCACCATCCCGACAAGGTCCATCCCATGCATATCCTCCCCCATCCGTACACAGGTCTGTGTCACACGTGTCCGCCCCATCCCTACACAGGTCCATCCCCACACATGTCCAGCTCCCCCTGCCCTGTCCGAGGGGCAGAGAATGAGGATCCTGACCCCCCTCCTCACCTGGATGGCCCCCCTGGCATTCCGTTCTCAGTGCCCCCAACTGCTGGGAGCTGGTAGGAGGCCCCGTTGCCAGCTTCTGGGTTCCCTGGTCCCCAGTTCCTGCTCTGACTTTTCTCCCTCCTTCCCTCCCTCCCTCCCTCTCTCTGCTCCCCTTCCCTCCCCCTGGCACCTTGCTCACCATGGTCTGGTGGTCTGACCCACACTGCAGCCGGGGTCACTGTGCCCCTGGGGTAGGGGTCTGTCTCCCGTTGGCCCTTCTGTCTCAGAGAGTCTCACATTCCCCTCAGGGTCCCCCAGCGCACCCCAGGGCCTGCCTCACGGACTTTCTTCCTCTGTCCTTGCAGCTCTGCCTGGGCCATGCGGAGTCTCCGGGAGTAGCCGCCACGTGTGGGACCCTCGTCCTGGCAGCACAGCCGTGAGTACAGCGGGGACGGGCCCGCGCGGGGAAGCAGCAGGGCGGGGAGGCTGTGGACACGGAAGCTTGAGGCCCCATTTTCCACTTGAAGATGGAGGCTGCGGAGCCAGGGCCAGGGCGCTTTGCCATCCTGTGCACAGTGGACCGGGGTTCAGTTCCAGCACCCTGTATGGTCCCCCGAGCACAGAGCCAGGAGTAGCCCCTGAGCATCGCCGGCTGTGGCAGGAGCAGGAGCCTCTACTGTATTTCTGATGGTTTGCATCTTTTTTGGGTCCTTCAGTACCCTGAATTTTTTTTTTCACTTGGCTTAAAATGAATGTGAAAGGGGGTTGGAGAGATAGTACAGTGGATAGGGAGCTTGCCTTGCACATGGCCGACCAGAGTTTGATCCTCGGCATCTCATATGGACCAGGGTTTGGTCCTCGGCATCCCATATGGTCCCTCGAGCTCACCAGGAGTGATCCCAGAGTGCAGAGCCAGGAGTAACCCCTGAGCACCGCCAGGTGTCCCAAGAAACAAAACAGAAAAGCAAAGGTGATAGGGGCAGAACCTTGGTGCAGTGGGCAGGGCCGGGTGCTGACTGTGGAGGGTGGCAGGAAGAGCAAGGGCAGGAGAGTCTCCGTGCTCCCCAGAGAGACACCCACAGGGGTCCGGGAACCTCCCTGGTCACCCCATGTCTGTCAGGTGGGAAGTGGTTCCTCAGTCTAGTTTGCATCCAAATTCATTTCTTCTTATGGAGGTTAAGTTCCTTCCCATTTGTCCAAGACTCAGTTGATACTTGGCTGGAGGGATAGCACAGCGGTAGGGCGTTTTCCTTGCACACGGCCAACATGGCCGACCCGAGCTCGATTCCTCCGCCCCTCTCGGAGAGCCCGGCAAGCTACCGAGAGTATCTCGACCACATGGCAAAGCCTGGCAAGCTCCCCGTGACGTATTCGATATGCCAGACACAGTAACAACAAGTCTCATGGTAGAGACGTTACTGGGCCCGCTCGAGCAAATCGATGATCAACGGGAGGGCCTTTTACTTTTTTTTTTTAATTTTTTTTACGAGCCTCTCTCTCTCTCTCTCTCTCTCTCTCTCTCTCTCTCTCTCTCTCTCTCTCTCTCTCTTTCTCTCATATATGTGGATATGGATATGGGTACGGGTATAAATGTGTGTATACATATGTATATCAGGGAGAGGACACCACACTCAGAGGTGCTCTGTGGGTACTCCAGACTCGGTCCTTGGGGTCACTCCTAGCAGTATTGGGGCACTTTGTAGTACCTATCCTAGTACCTGCTCCAGACCCTCTCAGCCTCTTGGTTCATATTCTTTGGCCATCTTTTTTTTCTGTAAGTTAATTGATCTAGTTCTTATTTCTAGGTGTTTTCTGAGTTTTAAGAACACTCTGGGGACCAGAGCAATAGTACAGCGGGTAGACTGTTGCCTTGCACGCAGCCGACCCGGGTTTGATCTCTGGCATCCCATATGGTCCCCTGAGCACGGCCAGGAGTGATTCCTGAGTGCAGAGTCAGGAGTAACTCCTGTGCATCACCGGGTGTGACCCAAAAAGTCAAAAAAAAAAAAAAAAAAAAGAAAAAAAAGAACACTCTGTGCTCTGGATCTGAGTGTGTGGTTTCCTCTTGCCTTTTGATGGTTTCTTTTTTTTCATCCTGCAGGAATGTTTGACTAATTGGTGGATTTGACCTGACCCCCTCTCTGGCTCTCTGGGGCTGCTCTTTGCCTAGTGCTGGATGGGGTGGGGATGGAGTCAGGGCTCCTGGCCATGCCCTCGAGCCCTCTCCCTGGTTGAATATTTCACTGATAATTCTCTGGGTTGCCAGAGGTTTAGGGAATAATTTTTTTTCTTTTTGGGTCACACCCGACGATGCTCAGGGGTTACTCTTGGCTCTGCACTCAGGAATTACTCCTGGCAATGCTCAGAGAACTATATGGGATGCTGGGAATTGGACTCAGGTCGTCAGCTTGCAAAGCAAACACCCTAGCCTCTGTGCTATCGCTATAGCCCCAGGAATGATTTTTAAAATCCTTTTGTGATTTTATTTTTTGCAATGAAACTTTGCTTCATCTATAGTTTATCCTGCTGTCAGCGAGCGGCAGGTGGAGCCCAGTTCCCAGTTCCCGCGGTTCTAGGTTGTGCCCAGCCTCCGAGCAGTTCAATAATCTGTCTTTTACCTTACACATGGCTGAGCTGGGTTTCATCCCGGCACCCCGTATACGGTACCCCCAAGCACCACCTGGGGTGACCCCAGGGTACAGAACCAGGAGTAACCCCTGAGCATCACTGGGTGTGGCCCACCACCCTCACCCCCTTCAAAAAATATCTCTTTCTGGGGCTGGAGTGATAGCACAGCGGGTAGGGCGTTTGCCTTGCACGCAGCCGACCCGGGTTCGATTCCCAGCATCCCATATGGTCCTCTGAGCACCGCCAGGAGTAACTCCTGAGTGCAAAGCCAGGAGTAACCCCTGAGCATCGCTGGTGTGACCCAAAAAGAAAAAAAAAAACTCTTTCCCTCAGTAGATCCAGACACTCCTATTATCATCACTGAATTAATGGTATTGGGGTTGTTTGTTATGTTTTGGATTTGGGGCCACACCTGGTTGTGCTCAGAGCTTACTCCTGGGTAAGGGATCAGGGATCACTCCTGGTAGGGCTTGGGGGACCATGTGGGGTGCTGAGAATCGAACCCAGGACAGCCGCGCACAAGGCAAGTGCCTCCCTGCTGCACTATGTATCGCTCGGGCCCGAGTTCATGGTTGTGATGTATGGACGGCGAATCTCGCTTTGTGTTTTCCTTCAGTGTAGGCCGGGGGGTCCTGGCCTCACGCATAGAAGGCTGATTCTCACGCTGTACCCATTCTCTCCCCCACCCTCGTCCTTCCCCACCCCTGCATTCAGAATTTTCTTGTTTCTTTCTCTGTTTTTTGGTTTTTTTTTTTCACATGAATTTTCTCATAGTTTATCTAGATCCCGGGCTGGAGCAATAGCACAGCAAAAAAGGGCCTTTGCCTTGCGCGCAGCCGGCCCCACCTAGCTGGGTTCGATTCCTCCACCCCTCTCGGAGAGCCCGGCAAGCTACCGAGAGTATCTCGCCTGTGCGGCAAAGCCTGGCAAGCTCCCCATGAAGTATTCGATATGCCAAACACAGTAACAACAAGTCTCACAAAAGAGATGTTACTGGGCCCGCTCGAGCAACTCTATGAACAACGGGAGGACAGCGCTATCTAGATCCCAAAACTCACATGTGCGCTTAGCAGGATCAAGCACACTTAGAAATTCACTGAGAATTCAGAGTCCTCTGGGATGCTGTGACCACCCCCTCCACAGAACCTTTCCCAGCGCCTTCTTCCCTCACCCACAGCCCTCACATTGCCCCATAGGCCTCTCGGACTTCACTTAAGATGATCATTTGTTTTTTGTTTTTTTCTGGAGGGGTGGTTGTTTTGGTTTGATTTGGGGGCTGCACCTTTCAGTGCCCGGGCTTACTCCTGGCTCTGTGCTCAGAGATCAGTCTGTGTTCAGGGTCTCAGGGGCCCATCTGTGGGGCCTGGGATAGAACCCGGGCTGTCCACATGCAAGACAAGAAGAGCCTTGACCCCTGTACTATCTCTCTGGCCCAACTGCTGTTCACTGGTTTGTAAATTTGGGGGATGCTGTTATAAGTGGGGTCTTTTATCCTGGTTTCTTCATTCTTATACGAATCAGTTTCTATTATGTTCATTTTGAGCCCAACTGTCGCACTGTCTGTAGCACTGTCCTCTCATTGTTCATCGATTTGCTCGCGCGGGCACCAGTAACGTCTCCATTGTGAGACTTGTTACGGTTTTTGGCATATCGAATGTGCCACGGGGAGCTTGCCAGGCTCTGTCCTACGGGCAGGGTTCTCTCAGTAGCTTGTTGGGCTCTTGTCGGGCTCTTGTTGGGATCTCCTAGAGGGACCGAGGAATTGAACCGGGTCGGCCGCGTGCAAGGCAAACACCCACCCGCTGTGCTGTTGCTCCAGCCCTTTGAGCCCAGCTATCGTACTGAATTCTTTGATTGTAATCAATTCTCAATTGAACTTCCTGGGCTTTCCTCCTCTGAGCTCCTAGTACTGGTTACCAGCGGCTTATTTCTCTCCCCACTTCCTTCTGAGGGAAAGGCCACACCTGGTGGTGGCCAGTCTACTCCCAGCACGGTGTGTGTGTGTGTGTGTGTGTGTGTGTGTGTGTGTGTGTGTGTATGATTGCTCCAACAGTCTCGGAGACCGAATCCAGGCTCCCCACAAGCGAGGCATGTCTAGGCCCATTGAGCTGTTTTTCTGACCCTGCTTCCTGCCCAGTGTTTATACGGTTTATTTTTGTCTAGAACGTTCAGGGTAATATGATTAATACAAATAATAATAAAATGGAATTCCTTTTCTCATTCCTGGCTTTATGGAGGACTTCCTATTGAGCTGGGTGTTGGCGTTTGGCATACGGCAGTGTCAACCTATTTCTCCTTCAGCAAGACTTTTGTTCTTCAAGTAGACCGACGGTTGAGTCTGATCATTTTGTTTTGGGACACACCGACTCTGCTCAGAGCTTTCTCAGGGATCACTCCCAGCGGGCTGCAGGGACCACTTGGGGTCTCGGGGATTGACCCCTGGCCGAGCACATACAAGACAAGCGCCTTACCCACTGTGCTATCTCTCCGGCCCTTTGAGTTCAGTCGTATGTCCTGTATTTGGTATCTGGTGAGGTTCAGATGCCTCTTGAACAGATAATCAGCTTCTCTTTGCTTCCTTTTGGGGGTACATAGTTTCCCACGTGGTGCCCAGGGGATCCCAGGGGCCGCTCCCGACAATCCTTGGCCATCCAGGCCAGTGGCCCAGTGTGCGGGCTGAGGACACAGTGCTACTCTGGCCCTCCAGCATGGGGTCCCCCGGGCCACTGCAGTGGTGTTTGGGGGCCTCCAGGGCCGTCCCCGGTGGTGCAGCCCATGTGGACTATTCAGTTTTTAATTAAAAGGCTTCATTTTAGCACTGGGTTTTATGTCACTGTTCCTGGCAGTGCTTCTTGTGCGAAGCACCCCTGCACCCCCCACCAGTGTTCACCTCCCCTGACCGTGTGCCGGTGCCCCCACGCCCACCCCATCCCTTCCTACTCATGGCCAGCAATGTTTCTGTTGCCTTTGGGCATTTGTGGGTTTTTTTTTCCCAGCTATGTTTCTTTATATCCTGCATATGAGAAATTACCCTGTGCCTCTCCTTCTCCTTTTGCCTGACTGCGCTCGGCCTGATACTCTCCAGATCTGCCCATGTAGCAGCAGATTGCCTGATCTCATTTTTTTTCTTAGAGCCGAGTAGTATTCCGTCGTGTATATGTCGCATCATTTATTTGTTTATTTGGCAGAGGCTGGTTTGGGCCACACCTGGCGGTTGCGTTGCGCAGGGCTTCCTCTTTGCTCTGAGCTCAGGGATCACTCCTGGCAGGGCTGGGGTTGCTGGGGATCGAACCCAGGCCAGCTGTGTGCCAGGCAAGTGAGTGCCCTGCCTGCTAGCTTATCACTGCAGTCCTACATCTTTTCTTGACTCGTATCAGGCCAGGAGCTTTTGAGCATACGCCTGGGGCCTGAGTGGCCGGTGCCCAGTGCCTGCCAGACTGTCCAGGAACCTAGGCCAAGTTGGGGGTAGGAGGAGGGTACGGGGGGGTGGGTTACTTTCCCACCCTGTGTGCCCGCCCGTCTCCCTCCTTGGTGGGGGCGGAGGAGGTCTCAGTCTCATGATGCAGGGGCGACTCCTGCTTCCCCAGGGCTGGAGGAGAGGGTGACGCTCACAGGCCTCGGTCCCACTCGTACTAGCCAACACCGGGGCCCTGACCCTCAACTCAAGCTGGGTCTTCTCTTGGCTGGACTTGCCGAGGCCAGTCGCAGGCCTGTGTGCTGGACAAGACGCGGGGTCCACACGTCGTGGAGGGGGGCTGGGGGTGACAGGTTTCGGCAGGCGTTTGTATTCAGGGATGTGGGCTGGAGCCCTGCAGAGGGAGCAGGCCGCGGTGCCCCTGACCACACCCCTGACCGAGCCCCTCCATGCCCCGCAGGTCTGGCCGGAGGGCAGCATGGCAGAGGCGGCGGACGCAGTGCTCTCCGTGGCCGAGTGGCTGCGGGCGCTGCACCTGGAGCAGTACACGGGGCTCTTCGAGCAGCACGGCCTGGTGTGGGCCGCCGAGTGCCAGGGGCTCAGCGACGCCCGCCTGCTGGACATGGGCCTGCAGCTGCCCGGCCACCGCCGCCGCATCCTGGCGGGCCTGCACCGGGCCCACGCACCCCGCGCGCCCGCCCCGTGCCCCGCGCCTCGCCCCGTGCCCATGAAGCGGCACATCTTCCGCTCGCCGCCCGCAGCATCCTCTCCGCCTGAGCCGGCGCCCCCCGCCAGTGAGGGGCCGCCCACCGCGCCCCCCATCCCGCCCCGGAGGAGCTGCGTGCCCCCCAGCCTCTTCTCGGCCCCAGCCCCCACCGCCGCTCCGGCCCCTGCGCTGCCCCCGCTGCCCGCCAAGAGACATCAGACGGAGCCCAGCGTCCCGCCCGTGCCCCCTCGCACCGGGCCCCCCTGCCTACTAGTGAGGTGAGTGGGGGCTGGGCAGAGGTGGGGGTGCAGGATGCAGCCTTTGAAAGGGCAGCTGGGTCGGGGCGGGTCAGGAGCATCCTGAGCAGGCTGGGGACTGGGAAGCTCCTTCTGGGGGCACCCTGAGCCGACACTGGGTGCTGCAATGGACCAGTCCTGTACACTCCTCAGCCTCATCCGGCGGGGCCCAGGGCTGCTCCCCGTGCTCCTCTGCGCTCCCCTTTGCCTCCTGGTTCTCCATTTCCTTGAGTTTCTCCCGCCCTTGTGCCCGCCCTGCTTGAACCTCACACAGGCCCTGCTGCCTGCCCTTGGCTGGGACGCCTGCCCGGTGGCGGCTGATTCAGGGTCCTCCCTTGAGGGTTAGGGTTCTCGGCCCCATCATCTGGGCACGGCTTCCTGGAGGAAGGGGCCCTGCAGAGAGCTCACCTGGTCCCTGTTTGTTTTAGCGGGGGACGAAGGTTGGGGTCACACCTAGTGGTACTTGGGGGTTCCTCCTGGCTCTGTGCTCAGGAATCATCCAGAGGTCCATCTGGGGAGGGTGGCGGATTGAACCCGGTTGGCCGCGTGCAAGGCTGGTCCCTTCCTCCTTGTGCCATCACTCCCCGGCCCCGTTGGATGATTTACATGGCAGGGACCAGGCCTTTGTTGCTCCCAGCAGCAAGCCTGGGGGAACAGAGCTCCTGTGTCCTGTTTCCAAACAGAATCTAAGGCTCAGAAGGGAGGGCCACCCTGCCCACGCTTTCCTCAGTGCCTGCTCAGGGAGCCCTGAGACAGGGTGTGTGAGGGGCCCCCACGCGGAAGGGCATGGGACAGGGCTGCCGGAAGGCCAAGCAGAGTTGTGATTGGTAGAAGCACCAAAAGATGTTCCTGGGTTCGCACAACCAGGAACCCCACAGGAGGACTCCCCAGGAGCCAAGAACCGGGCTCCCAGCCCAGATCCGTTTCCTGGTAGCACTTCGCCCTCTAGTGGCCACTGTCCCGCATGCAGGAGGGAGAGCCAGGGAGCCAGAGAGTGAGTGTGAGAGGTGTCCTCTCTGTGTCTGTATGTGTGTTTTGCGTGTCTTATATTTCTGTGTGTCTGTGTGTGAGAGTGTGTGTGTGTTTCTGTGTGCCTGTGTGGCTGTATATGTGTCTTAGAGTCTGTGTGTTATGTGTGTCTGTGTGTCTTTTTGTATCTCTGTTGTGTGTCTATGTGTCTTATGTGTTGTGAGTCTGTATATGTGTCTGTATGTATGTGTGTGTTTCTGTGTGTTGATTGTGAGAATGATTGTGTGCGTGCATATGTGTATCCTCTATATGTCTGTATTGTGTTCTCTGTGTCTGTGTGTGTGTCCTCTGTGTGTCTGCATTGTGTCTGTGTGTTTGTGTGTCAGCGTGTGTGTCAGTCTGTGCTGTTGGGCCACGCCCGCAGTGCTGGGCCTAGTCTGGTGGTAATGCTTGGGGGTTGCTCCTTGCCCTGGGACCCTGCCGTGCTGGCGCTGGACCCCACACCTCTGGCACCAAGGTCCTTTGAGCGTCTTCCAGCTGCCCTGCTGTGGCCCCAGCACCTTTGAATCTGGTGATGGGACCGTGCTGGGGTGTCCAGGGGTGCTCAGGACCCTCCGAGCCCCTTAGTCCAGCGAGCCCTCTGTGCCCGCCAGTGGCCCGGCTCTGCTAGCTGCAGGTGCCTGGGCCGTAGTTACCTGGACCCTTTCCCTGTCCCGGCCAATCCCTGCTCCTCCTGGAGGCGCATCACTTGTTGCCGGGCAGACCTCGCTCCCTTCCTGGAGTCCTTTCCCAGCCTCCCGGGGGCCTCCTGGTGGCTGGGGGCGGGTGCAGCCAGGGCTTCCTGGGCGTCCCCACCGTGAGGCAGGCCCCACTGTGGCCATTGTCCCATTCCCGCCAGGGTGGGGGGCAGCCTGGGGGCGGGGAGGAAGTGAGCCCCAGGGGATTCTGGGTGACTTTTCTGTTTCTCAGGCCCTGTTTTCAGGAAGTGTGTGTCTTGGCCACGGCTGCAGGGGGTGGGGAGCAGAGAGCAGGAAGCTGGGGGAGAGCGAGCTGGACGCGGTCACTCAGGCTCCCTGGCTTGCTGGCTCTGGGCAGAGCCACGGTGACACTGGGAGGCCCACACCCAGACACCTGCCTCCAAGCCCGTAGAGACCCAGGGTCCTGGCCGGGCAGAGCCCTCCCTGCCCCCCACTCCCCGGAGCCCGCAGGAGCCACCAGCTGGCCCCAGCACCCGCTGCCGCCTGCCGGAGCCGCCGGCACCTGAGGGTGAGCTGGGGCCGGGGCTGGGGGGCGCCGCTGGGGCCGAGGAGGGCAGGGTCCTGCCTGGAGGTGGCCCCCAGCCCGGGCTGGGCTTCCTCCGCTGCTGATCGTGGCGCCAGCCGCTCTCTGCACTCAGAAGTTTCTCTCCTTTCACTTTCCCCCTTTCCTGTGTTTCTCCTGCTCCTTCCTTTTCCCTTGCTCCGGGCTGCCTGGTCTCCATTTCCCCATCCTGGGCCTTTCTTGGACCCGATGCTGTGGCCGGTCCCTCCTGTGCCCTGCATGTCATTCGGCACTTCTGGGGTGCCCCGCTGAGGGATTCCTCGGGAGATGCAGAGAGCGCAACTCTGCCACTTTGCAGGGGGATGGGGATGTGTCCTGTCAGGGCGGTCCCTGCCCAAAGCTCTGCTGGGGAGAGCTGCGGGGGGTGGGGGGGTGGGGGGTGTCTCGCCCTCCTCCCCAGGCTGCTGCTCGGGTTCCTGGGGGCCTGTGTTGCCGGCCGCCCCTGCCCGCGGCTGCTGCGGCTCTCAAGTAAACGCAGAAGCCGGCCAGCCACCTGCAGCCCAGGGCTCGCAGGTGCTCCCCCAGCACGGCTCACCTTCCCAGGGCCCAGCGCACACCGTCCTCTCTGCCCTCCTCAGGGCCAGGCCAGGGCCGGGCACTCGAAATGGGGCATACTCGGCAGAGCCCTGCACGCCCCCGGGCTGGCCTCCCTCCCGCCGCAGCCCTCGGCAGCCAGCAAAGCCAGGCCCAGAGCTGTGCCAGGAAATGAGGCCGTGGCTTTCTCCTGCCCACCACCGCCTGTCGGCTTGTGGGGAAGCTCGAGGGGCCATGAAAGCCCAGCAGGCCGCCAAGCCCCGAGCCCAGGGACCCCCGGAGGATGCCGAGGAAGAGGAGGAGGCGTGTCCTGCCGACTGGGGATGGCCAGTCCGGTCTGCTGTCGGGGTTAAGTGGAAGAGGCCCTCAGGGCAGAGAGCGCACACCGAGAATGTTTAGCAAGTGGAAGGTCCTGTTTGGGGGACCAGTGACAAGGGGCAGGGGCGGTGCCTCACGCCCGGGGGTGCCCTGGGCTTAATGCCTGTGCCACGCGGCTCCCCCAGCACCATCCGGTGTAGGTGGCCCTGGTGACCCCCGGCCCAAACCAGACAGAAAGCACAGAGGCAGGAGAGACGCTGAGAGCAGGGGGAAGCCCTGATGGGAGGCTGCCGGGGGAATGGGGCGCATCAATGGGTGCCCCCGTGGTCAGCCCGGTGGTCCGCCCACGCCCCCTGCAGCACCCTCTCTGTGCTTGCCTTGCAGGGGCCACTAAAATGGGGTTGCCTTGTGGGGGCCTCAGATGGGGTGCTCTGTGGCCTCACAGCCCGTGCAGAAGTGGGAGTTGGAGCTTAGGGTCCCCCCCCCCCCCCAACGAGGTGAGTGGTGCCAGGCTGGGCTCCTGGCACTGAGTCCTGGGCGGCAATGAGAGCAGAGAGGGGACCCTGGGGGCTGATGTCGGGTCTCATGATGGAGAGGAAGGGCCAGCCAGGGCAGCCACAGAGGAAGCTTGGGGCCAGGCCGCGACGTGGGCCCCGTGGATCGATCAGAACACAAATGCGGAAGTGGACAACCAGGAGAATGACCTGGGAAGGGCCCAAAGGGGACCATCCGTCCAGATCACTGTGTGCCCTTCCTGCTCTCGTGGCCCTGGGCCTGGGCAGCGTCCCCTCTGGGCCTGTGTGATGCCCTTGGGAATGGTCCTGGCTCCAGGCTGGGTGCCCCCCCCCACCGACATCGCTTTGTCAAGCAGATGTTGGTGACAACAGCTGTTCTGAGTGGAAGTGAGGAAGCAGGGGGAGTCCCAGGGAGGCCCCAGCCCAACCTGAGCCAGAGGGGGTAGATACCACAGCCAAGGGAGAATATGTGGTTTAAATCTGAGGTTCCCTAATCTCCTTGGCCAACCACCACTCTGCCCCCCTCCACCCCCCCCCCCCCCCCCCAGCTAACTACCTTCCTCAAGCAAACTAACAGAGCGCCTCCGGTTGCCTGCTGCTGCCCCGGCTGGGTCCAGCACTGGGCAGAGGGCCATTGCCCACTTTGCAGAACACTGATTTGAGCTTTCCGAGGAGGAACAGGACTTGGCGAGGGAAGGGCATGATGGGGAGAAGGAACAGCATCAGCAAAACCTTTGGGGATGCAGCTTATATTCGAGGGTGGCTTGGAGTTCAGGCCCCCCTCGGCAGCCCTCCCATCTCTAGAGTGGGGCCGGGTCGGGGGGTGTTTGGGTCGTTACTGTTGGTACTGGGCTGTCCAGTGCCGTGCGTGGGGACTGTGGGGCGCTGTGCTGGCACAGCCGTGGACGGTCCCTTTCAGCATGCATCATGCTCGGGCTTTAGGGGACATGAGGGGCCCGGCCCACTCTCCCCCTGCGCACACCCCCCTCGGCTCCCACAGAAGGCAGCCAGGTGTGTTGGCCCCGAGCCAGGGAAGTGACTCTTACTAGACGGGTGGCCCCGGCCCTGACTTGCTCAGACCTGCTGCGGGGCCATGGAGGGGACAGCAGAGGGGCTCCCATGTCACGTGGAGAGATTAAAAAAAAAAAAGGGCTCCCAGAAGAACCCGAGAGCCAGGCTGGGGCAAGAGGGCGCCTGTCAGCGTGTCACCGGGACTGAGGTGGAGGTGGCCTTCAGGTGGCTGAGCTGCCCCGGAGGGAGGGGACAGTCATGAGGAGAGGGGCAGGGGGAGCTAGGAGGAGGAGGAGCTGTTGGGGGGACAGGAGGAAGGTGAGGAGGAAAGAAGTGGAATGGGAGGAGGATCGAGAAGGGCAACAGGAGGGAGAGGAAGAGGAGGAGCAGAGGGATGGGGGGAGAAGGGGAGGGGGAGGATGGGAAGGGGAGGAGGGGGAGGATGGGGAGGAAGGGGAACGGGAGGAGGAGGAGCAGCAGGAGGAGCAGGAGATAAAAGGTGAGGAGGGGGACTGGGAGGAAGAAGAGGAGGGACACCAGGACTGGGAGGAAGATGAGCAGGAGGACGAGGGGTGTGGCGGCGGGGGTGGGGAGCAGAAGAGGAGTGTAGCAGAGGCCTGGAGGCCAGGCCACTGGTCAGTGCCCAGGCAGGCCCAGGTCCGGTCAGAGGCAGGGGGAGGCCCCCAGCTGGCAGGGCAGAGGGGCCGGGCTGGGGCCTCTGGGCACTCCCTTCTTCCTGGGGTTTTCCCATACCCTGGGCCTCAGTGCCACTTCTCCTTTCCTGTCTGGCCCTGACTCAGCAGAGCCCCACAACTGCCCTGTGGCTGGCAGATGGGGTCAGCCAGGAGGCTTCCTGGAGGCAGTGTCGGGGGTCAGCCTGCCATCCATAAGGCACCCTTTGCTTCTACTTTCTCGGTATGTGGAGTCTTTTCGGCGAAGGCTACACCAGTCTCCTCCCTGCTGGGGGCACGGGGGCCGAGCCGGTGCCCTCCTGAGTGAAGGTCAGGCCCCCAGCAGCCAAGACAGCCCCACTGGCCCCTGCTGCCAGCCGAGGTGGGGGGCGGGGGACCGGGACTGCCTGACTTCAGACCCCTGGGACCAAGGACACAGCACCTCTCTGAACCTGTTTTCTCGGCAGTAAGATTCCTGGGGACCCTTGCAAGGAGCCTGGGTGTGTGTGTGGGGGGGGTGTAGCTTGTGGCGAGTGCTCGGAGCACATGGGGAGCCCAAACAGAGCTCCTTACTCAGTCTCTTTGTTCATGTATTCCCTCCCCACCCACCTCATCACGGCTCCCTCCCTGCCAAGTAGTCGGGGTCACAGCGGGGTGGGGGGGGAGGCAGGGGTGGCACTTGTCTCGGGGATCCCACAGGACTGGGTGGCCCCAGGATGGGCGGGAAAGACGTCATGGAGGAGGGGTTGGGAGACTGGCACTGTGCCAGCCTGGGGGTGAGGAGGAGTGGGGGCAGCATGTTGCCCCCCCTCCCCTCTGCACTGGTCCCTGGCTGGAGTAGAGTAGAGCAGGGAGGGCGTTTGCCATGCACGTGACCAATCCGGGTTCGATTCTCAGCATCCCATATGGTCCCCTGAGCACTTCCAGAAGTAATTCCTGAGTTCAGAGCCAAGAGTAGCCCCTATGTATCACCAGATATGACCCAAAAAGCCAAAAAAAAAAATTCTCCCTGATAGGCACTCATCTTGTATGCAGCTGACCATGGTTTGATCCCTGGCTCTGCATATCGTCCCCCTGAACATTGCCAGGAATGACCCCTGAGAGTAGAGCCAGTGACCTGTGGGCACTGCCAGATGTGGTCTGACTAACCCCCCTCCAAATTATCCTGGTCTGATGCAGTGGATCCATCACCACCCAATCATTCATCTGTCCATCCGTCTGTCCATCCATCTCTCCATCCATCCATTTGTCCATCCGCCCTTTCCCCCACTCATCCATTCATCCATCACCCCTTACCATCTGTCTTTCCGTCCTTCTGTCCTTCCATCCATTGATCCATCCGTCTATCCACTCACACATCAATCCACCTGTCCGTCCATCTGTCCATGCACTTATTGCGCCACCCACTGTCCACCTGCTGATCTATCTGTTCATCCTCACACCCACCCATCCATTCATCCATCCACCTACCCGTTGTCAATCCACCCATCACCCAACATCCATCTGCCCCTTCCTGCAGGTGCCCAAGATAGCAGGGAGCAGCCCCCGGCCCTGGGACCTCCCAGCGGGCCCCCTAGCCTGTGAGAGCTCCGACTCCGCCCTGCCCACCCACATGCTCCAGGTTCCCTTCAAAGGAGCTGCATGGCTTCCTCCCGGGGCTCCTCGTCACTGCCCACCCCCCATGCAGCCCTCCCGGGGTCAGGTGAGAGGGAGGGTGGAGACTCAGCGCACGGGATGGGAGCACCCACAGCTGGCAAGACTCTGTCCATGAGGCTTTTAACCTCTGACTGTAGCATAGGGCGTGTCCCCCCCTCTTCTGCCCTCACGGGGCCAGTTCTCTCTCTCTCTCTCTCTCTCTCTCTCTCTCTCTCTCTCTCTCTGCCTCAGAGAGTATATACACTCTCTTACGGCCTCACAGAGAATATACACTCTCATGGCCTCATGGGGCATATATACTCTCATGGCCTCAGGGGGCATGTGTACTCTCTTATGGCCTCACGGGGCCTGTCCACTCTCTTGTGGCCTCGTGAGGCCTATATTCCCTCTGACAGCCACATGGGGCAACTTGAGGTCCCTGCACAGGATGTGCCCCATGGTCAGGCTGTGCCCACACCAGGCAGCCCAAAGCCCTGCTTCATGAGTTTGGTTTATCCTCACCCTGTGTGGAGAGGAGAAGAGACCGGGAGTCAGGGGCTTATGGCAGTAGCTGCGCCTTAAAGCACGAGGACCTGGGAGCCAGCATGTTGGTCCTGGCTTGGGTGAGGGGGCGAGTCCCGGAGGCAGGCTGGTGCTGGCATAGATGTCCCGAAGGACACGCTTGTTTCACTGTGCAGCCACTCTCCCAGGGGCCCCTTACTGGGGTCACACTGCTCTGGTTGCAGGGACCACACATTGCTTGTTGCTTTGCCCTCTTAGTGCAGGCCCTGGGTGAGGGTTGTGCTCACAGGGGTCGCGGCCACATGCACACACACACTCACACACACACAATGTGCCCACATGGGGCACACACTTCTTTTTTTTTCTTTTTGGGTCACACCCAGCGTTGCACAGGGTTTACTCCTGGCTCTGCACTCAGGAATGACTCCTGGCGGTACTTGAGGGACCATATGGGATGCTGGGGATCGAACCTGGGTCTGCCATGTGCAAGGCACACGCCCTACCTGCTGTGCTATTGCTCCAGCCCTGGGACACGCATTTCTAATGTGCACTCATGCATCTTTCATGTCGCGGTGCTGGCCCGTGTGCTGAGGGGCCCGAGGTTTTGCGGGTCTGACGCAGCCACACAGTGGGTCCACGTGAGACACTGGGGATGGTGACCATATGCCATAGCACAGCCTCTCTAAACACCCACACGATTCCTCCTCTGGACCCGGGAGGTGCTTCCAGAGAAACCGTCCCCTCTGCAGAAGGGGGCTGCGGGGCTCCGGGAGGCCCCAGGTTGTCCCAGGACACACAGGGAACCAGACCAGGACCTCCCCATGCTGTGGCCACGCTGTTCCAGGGACAATCCAGCAGCACTTGTGTCTGCAGGAGCCCAGCGAAGGCCAAGACCTGTCCCTGCAGGGGGAGCAGATGTGAGGAGCTGGCATTCTGCGAGAGGCGTGTCATAGCATGGGCTTGAGGAAACTGGGGAATACACACGTCTTGAGCCCCACAAAGGCGGGCCTGTGGCTTCATGGCCTGTTTCCTCCTGCCCCATCCTTGTGCCACACAGTGTCTTCTTGTCATAAGCGCTCGCCCGGGGCCCAGGATGCAAGTGGTTCCCAGTCAGGGCACAGGCCTGGCAGGTGTGCGGCCCCAGGTTCTACCCCCAGCACCACACGGCTCCTGAGCGCTGCCAGGAGTGGGGCCCCGCTCACCAGAAGCAACCCTCCCCAGTCAGCCACCCTGCGGCCTTCTCGGACCCCACGCCCAGGTCGCTCCATCCCCCTGGGGAACAGAGGTCCAGAACCCCCCTTTGACTGGAAGCTGGCACTGGGGCAGCTCCCGAAGGCCCTCGAAGGGGCCTGGCCCCCTGCAGTGTCCTGAAGGGTGTGGGCCCACGGCTGAGGTGGGGACGGCCTCTTGGAACAGTGAGTGAGTGGGCCCCTGGGCCCTGGAGGCCTGACTTCCTGGGCTGGGCCACGCCCAGAGCTGACCCCTCGCCACCCGCCTTCTTCCCGGCCCAGCCTGCCTTCTGAGGAGGAGCCGCTGCCCCCCGCCCTGCCGAGCCCACCCCAGCCAGAGCCTGCAGAGCCCCCAACACCACCTCCCAGCCCCCCGATAGTCCCCCAGAAGCCTCTTCGCCTGCGACCAGAGTTCGGTGAGGTCACCGCCGGGGAGGGGTATCTGGGGTTGGGGTGCAGGGCTCACACTCTCCTTTCCCACGGGGCCCTGCCCCCCTGAGCCAGGTGAGTGACCCTGGCTCGCCCTGGTGGGCTGCGGGTCCTCCCTTCTCCTTACCTCCAGCTTGCAGCTCTGCCTTTCGTGGGCGGTCCCTGCCTTGCCGCCCAGGCTGGCCACTTCCTCAGCCACCCTGTGGCCGCCCCCTCCCTGCAGTCCTCCCTGTAAATGTGTAAATGGCACTTCCTGTTGGGGCTGTGGGGGGAGGGAGGGGACTTTCTTAGGTAGCCTGTGTGCAGGAGGGTTGGTCAGGTGCCCCCAGGAGGGAGGAGAGCCCCTGCCTGGCTTGCCTGAGTCTCCCTAATCCCACTTTATCCCACAGATGACTCCGACTATGATGAGGTCCCAGAGGAGAGGCCCCAGGCCCCAGCCGGCGGCGGCGTGATGACCAAGAAGGTGGGGAGCAGCGGGGAGGGTATGGATTGCGGGTCAGTGGGGTGGAGGGTGGGGGGCCACAAGACAGAGAATGGGGTTTGTGCTCAGGGGAGTCCCCTGGCCCTTCGCAGGGGCCCAGGGCAAGCGCAGCCCCAGAAAGCTGGGCAGGGCTCTGGTGGGCTGCCCCCCCCGCCCCTCCCTGCATCGTGCAGTGTCCCTCTGGGTACCTGTCCTGTGTCTCCGTTCAAGCAGAGACAGATGCCTGGTGTCGTCGGTTGTGGTGATGGAATGTGGGGACAGTGCCCGGGCTGCTCCTGGCTCTGTGTATGGTGCCAGGGATCAGACCCGGACTCCCGCCTGCTGAGTTCGAGCTTCTCTCTCGGCTCTCCGTCCCCCTAGCCTGTCTTTGTGTGAGCCCTGAGCCCTGTCCTCCCGGCCTGGGGACGCTGCCTCGGGCCTCCCGTGCACCACGCTGCTGGGGGTGGGGGGTGGGGCAGGAGAGGCGAGGGAACGGAAACAGCACAAGTGCCCCGAGTCGGGGCCTGGTGCGGGCGGGTCTGATTTTGGGGGGCTTGTGGGGGGCAGGAGGAAGCCCACGAGGGCCCGCTGCGCCTGCTGCCACGGGCTGTGCGTGTGGCCAGTCTGCTGAGCGAGGGGGAGGAGCTGTCTGGGGACGAGCCGGAGGACGAGGAGGAGCCTGACCATGCCTACGAGGGCATCCCCGAGTGAGTGCCCCCGGCCCGGTGCTCCCGCCCCGCCCCCCCGCCCCACCCCGCATGATGGACGGGACAGCCCTGATGGATGGGACAGTGCAGCCTGAGCCCACCTCTGCCTCTGTCCGCAGCTTCCTGATCTCTGAGCTCCCGCCACACCCCATGGACGGGCTGCCCAGGGGCACCACTCCTGCGCCTGCGGTGCTCAGGGCCGGCTGGCTGGACAAGAACCCGCCACAGGGGTGAGTAAGGCTCCGCCGGGCCCGTGCCATGGGGAGCACGTCCTCAAGGGGCCTGCGAGCACTGCTGTCCCCACCTGACCGCAGCCCCTCCCCCCACTGGGTCCGGCCCTGTCCACTCTGCGGGTGACTCCAGAGGCGGGGTCCCCTGGCTCCAGCCTTTCTCCAAAGCCCCATCCTTGCTCTGTGCCGCCTCCGCCCCCCAGATCCTACATCTATCAGAAGCGATGGGTGAGGCTCGACGCCGAGTACTTGAGCTACTTTGATAACAACAGGGTGAGCGGCCCCCCAGCCCCAGTCTTCGACAGCCCCCCCCGACACGGCCCAGGGGATCCCCTCCCTCAGTGAGGCTTCCCTGGGCCCCACCTTGCTCTGGGCCCTCCCACCCCAGCGGCCAGCCCTGGGTTGTCTGTGGTGTCTGAGCCCCCGAAAATGGGGGGCTGGGGAGCAGGGCCCGTGTCCACTGCCCAGTACAGCCATCCTCCTCTGCAGGACGTCTACTCCAAGCGCTTCATCTCCGTGGCCTGCATCTCCCGCGTGGCTGCCATTGGGGACCAGAAGTTCGAAGTGATCACGCACAACCGCACCTTCACCTTCCGAGCAGACAGCGATGGTGGGAGGGGCGTGGGCCCCGCAGGGAGGGAGGGAATGGGCGGTGTGCAGCGCGTGAGCAGAGGGGACAGGACGGGCAGTTTGGCCAGAGAAGTGGGGGAGAGAACCCAGCATCCGGGCCCCTCTGGCCAGCCCAGACTCTGGGGCGAGGGGACCAGCGCCCCAGCTGTCCTCAGAACCGGCCCCTTTCAGGGTGTGGCGAGCCGGGACCTCATGACAGGTGACTGGGGCGACGCCCGTCTCTAGAGAGGTGTCACCCGCGCGGCCTGGCAGGGACCTTTTGGGGGCTTCGTGCAGGCCGGCCCAGCCCACTCCTGCCCTTTGCCCCCAGTGGAGCGGAAGGAGTGGCTGCAGGCCCTGCAACAGGCGGTGGCGGAGCAGCGGTCCCGGGCCCGGTTGTCCAGTGCCTCCCTGCTGGGTGTTCGAGGCCTGGAGCTGCCCGACCACTCCGGCAGTCTGGAGCTGCGGGGCTTCAAGAATAAACTCTATGTGGCCGTGGTTGGGGACAAGGTGCAGCTCTACAAGAATCTGGAGGTATGACAGGGTTGGCTGGAGCCCTGAACTGGTCCCCCAGCCCTCCCCCATGCTCCTCTAGGCCCCCCTACCCTCCCCCCATGCCCCCCTGGTCCCCCTACCCTCCCCCGTGCTCCCCTGGTTCCCCCCTCCCCTCCCACATGCTTCCCTGGTTCTTCTACCCTCCCCCATGCTCCCCTAGGCCCCCCTCCCCTCCCCCATGCCCCCTGGTCCCCCAGCCCTCCCCCATGCTCTCCTGGTCCCCCCCCTCCCCCATGGTCCCCTGGTCCCCCCTCCCCTATTCCCCTTGGTTCCCCCTCCCCTCCCCCATGCCCAGCTGTTCCTCCCATCCTGTACTCAGCCTGTTTCCCCCAGCCCTCCCCATGCCCACTGAGCCCTGAGCCCCGCCCTTCCCACCTCCCCTGTGACCCCTCCCCCCCTTGCCCATCCCCTGAACCCCTGAACCCACGTCCACATGCCTTCACTCCTGAGCCCTGCCTTCTCCCTGGGCACTGTGCAGCCCTGCCAGGGACCACCCCCACCGCCCCTTGCCCCACCCCTGCCTGGGCCCCAGCGCCACCTCCCACCCTTGGCCTCCGCCCGCCCCGCCCCCTGCAGGAGTACCAGCTGGGCATCGGCATCACCTCCATTGACATGAGTGTGGGCAACGTGAAGGAAGCCGACCGGCGCAGCTTCGACCTCACCACGCCCTACCGCATCTTCAGGTGCGCCTCCCCCACCCCGGCACCATCCGTCCTCCCCCTGGTGCTCCCTTAGTCTAGGAAGAGGAGCTGCCCCTTCCCGGGTCTCTCCCCTCCCTGCCCTGCCCTGCCCGGTCATTGCTTTGGGTGCCCAGGCCTCATCTCGCTCCACCTCCCCCTGCCCCTCTCCCATTCCTGCTGCTCTCTGCGGCCTGCCCCCTGCCAGGAATGTTGCCTCGGTGGGCTGGGGTGTTTCCCCAGCCGTGTGGCCCCCGAACAGCATACTGGGAACCACCTCTGAGCCTGCAGGCCAGTGCCCTTCCCGGGGTAGGGACAGCACACGCTAGCCGAGCCTGGCGTCTGGTCCTGGCCCCGGGTTCCAGCCTGGGGGCACAGCTATGTCAGAACTGTTTCTTCCAGCCTGGTGGCCCGTGGGCCCTGTCCAGCCTGAGCCGCCAGCTTTGCCCCCACGCCAGGAAGGGCCCCATTTATTTATTTATTTATTTATTTATTGCTTTCTTGGGTCACACCCGGCGATCCACAGGGGTTACTCCTGGCTCTGCACTCAGGAGTTACTCCTGGCGGTGCTCAGGGGACCATATGGGATGCTGGGAATCGAATCCGGGTCAGCTGCATGCAAGGCAAACGCCCTACCCACTGTTTTATCTCTCCAGCCCCAGGAAGGGCCCCATTTAGCCTTTACAGAGTGCCCCAGTGGCTGTGTGAATTCTCTGCTGCTTTTCCCTCCTGGTCTCCTGGGGCCATCCTGGACACGCCTTTGGAGCCTGACTCTCCCGTCCAGGCCCCCTCTGACCTCGCCTGTCCCTCAGGCCTCTTGCTGGCCTCCACCCCGCCCCGGGCTGCCTGCCCACGGCCCGCCTTCCTGCCTGGCCTTCCTGCGGCGTCTGGGCCCTGATCCCGTCCTCTGGCGTAGCCGGCGCCACTGCCACAACACAGACCACACCCGGGGCCTTGAATGCGGGTTCCTGTCCTCTAGGCTCGGGGCCTGCGGCATGGTGGGCTTCTGTGTGGGCAGGGCCCCCTCCCACCCCCGGCCTTCCCACACACGCCCTTCCCTCAGCCCTGGACAAGGACCTGGCCTGGCCTTTCTGCCCGTGTCTTTGGGGAAACCGGCCTTTCAGATGAGCCCTCCCCCCACCTCAGACACACACACACACACACACACACACACACACACACACACACACACACCAGGTTCCGTGCTGCCATCTCCATGGAGGCGTTCCGAGAATTGTCTGTTTCCCAGCGCCTGAAGGGGGTGTTTCTGCTCTGCCGTGGTCTAAGTAGTCTTAAGTGTGCCTTGGCTTTGTGCCTGCAGACAGGCAGGAGGGGCCCGGCTGCAGGAACAGAGCCCTAGGCCTGACCCAGCAGGAGTGGGGAGCAGACCAGAACGGCAGTCAGCGTCACCCCGCAAAGCATCTCTGACACAGATGCATCTGTGTCCTCCCGGGGCCCCCAGGTGACCCGAGAAGGTCGCGTGACCACTCCGTGCCTCATTTCCCCGTGATTCAGGCAGTGCAGCAGCAGGGTTGTCCGTGGCACGGGCACCCCTTGCCCCAGCCAGCATCCTCTTTAGCCTGGGCTCTGTCTCCAGCTCAGGGCCACTGTGCCCCCACCCCCATTTACCTTCCAGATTCACTGCCCTGTCCTGCCAGGGGACACTTGCTTCTCCCGCCACAACCCTCCCTCCATTGCTCCCACCCATGTGCCCCCTCGCAACCCCGTCCCTGCCTGGGAGCCTTTCCTTTCTGCTGCCTGTGACACCAGGAGCCTCTTGTCACCTTTGCAGACTTCTCTGAGCAAAACTCCTTCCCTGTCCCCTCCCAGCTGCCTGGCCGGTGCCCTTTGGTGTACTTTCAGGGAGTCGCTTGGCTCTTGGGATGCCCCCAGAGGTGCTGGGGCCTCCAGGACTCCACCTGGAGGGCTTGGAAGACTTGGGGTACGGAGATGGAACCTGGGCTCCAAGCACGCTGGGCACATGCTCCGGCCCCTGGCGCCTCCTCCCAGCCTGCTGGGTGCACTGCGATCTCCACTGCCTGCCATAGCCTGTCGCCACCTGTCCCCAACCTCTGGTCTCCAGCCTGCCTAATCTGGCCTTTGGCACATGCCGTCCCCTTGCCTGGTTCTCTTTCCGGGCTCAGCCTTTTTCATCTGTCAAGTATTAGCCCAGGCATCGCTGTCCCAGGAATTCCCTTCTACTCCTGGGTGGGCAGAGCCGAGAGGACCCCGGGGACCCCTCTGGCTGCCCCGCGTCTCGCATCCGCGGTATCCTTGCTGCATCCCGCCTTCCGCACAGACCCAGGCTGCCTCCTCGTTCCTCCGGCATCTCCCCCCAGCGTCCCCTACCCCGCCCCAGCTCCCCCTCTCCTGTGCCCCCAGCTTCTCTGCAGAGTCAGAGCCCGAGAAGGAGCAGTGGCTGGAGGCCATGCAGGGCGCCATCGCCGAGGCCCTGTCCACCTCGGAGGTGGCCGAGCGCATCTGGACCTCAGACCCCAACAGGTTCTGTGCGGACTGTGGGGCAGCCCAGCCCGACTGGGCCTCCATCAACCTCTGCATCGTCATCTGCAAGCGCTGTGCAGGTGTGCAGGGGCAGGGGCAGGTGGGGAAGGTGTGCGGGGGGCTGGTCTGTTGGATGGCAGAGGGAGGTCATACCCTTGCCTGGGACAGCCCCTCTCCCACCCGCAGTCCCCACATTACCAGTCAGGGGCTCCCTAGTGCCAGGCAGGGCTCCGAGGCACAGAGAGGGAAAGTGGCACCTTCAGGCACTGCTGGAAGTTGGTGAAGGTGGGTCTGAACCCAGGCACGTTGACACTCAGTTCCCGGACCTGAGCAGGAGAGCGGAAGGACCAGTACGGGGGCTTAGACACCCACTTTGCACACACAGAGGAATCGAGGAACCCCATATGGTCCCCCAAGCCCTTCCAAAAGTGACTTCTGAGTACTGAGCCAGGAGTAAGCCCTGAGCAACACCGGATGTGCCCCCTCCAAAGAAAAAAAAAGGACAGGAAGTGATATGAGGGAGGAGCTGGCATGTCCCCGGGGAGCTGGGACGGATGTCGGAGGGACGTCCTCAGACCCTGGCTGGTGGAAAGTCTTAGTGGCAGGGGAGAGGGGGGAGGAGGATCAGTCACAGGAGCCCCAATTCACCCACCTTCCTTCACAGAGGGCCCACCTCGCTAGGGATGTGCCCAGGTGGCGCCTTGGATGCCCGGAGGTGGGGATCAGGGAAGAAACAGTTCTGACATGGCTGTGCCCCCAGGCCTGTTTAGCGTCTCAGATGAATGGCAGAAGCTCAGGGAAGGCAAAGCACCTAGTGTGGGTGCAGGCCCTGGGACTCCGAGTCAGGTGCTCCAGCCTCCTGGAGCCAAACAAGGCTCCTTCCCTCCCACCCCAGTGCCTCACCAGCCCTTCCCTCCCCAGAGGTGCGCTCGCTCGCCTGTGTTCCCTGAGCAGGCTTTGTTCTGGGCTGCGGCGCAACCCACAGTCAGGTTCAGCTCCTGTTCTGAGGGCACAGCTGGAAAGACATACAGGAGCCCACAGCACGAGAGCCAGGCAGGGAATGTATCAGAGTTCTGGGGCGTACAGGTGAGATCCGGGGGCAGGAGAGGAGAGGAAAAAGACAGTAGGTGCAAAGGCACTGGGGCAGGAAGGAGCTGAGAAGTTAGGAGAGGGAGGAGCGGCTGTAAGAGACTGAGAGGGGAAGAAGGAAAGCTGAGATGATGTTAAGGAGAGCCAGGTAAAGGATTTAAGGATAATTCATTAGAGGCGGGATTTGAAAGAGGTCACGGTCCTCCCGTTGTTCATCGATTTGCTTGAGCGGGCCCAGTAACATTGTGAGACTTGTTACTGTGTCTGGCATATCGAATATGTCACCGGTAGCTTGCCAGGCTTTGCCGTGGGGGCAAGATACTCTCGGTAGCTTGCCGGGCTCTCCGAGAGGGGCGGAGGAATCGAACTCGGGTCGGCCATGTTGGCTGTGTGCAAGGCAAACGCCATACCCGCTGTGCTATCGCTCCAGCCCTTGAAAGAGGAGGATTTCATTTAAGAGATTTGCCAGAGGGGCCACGTGATAGTACAGCATGTAGGGCACTTGCCTTTGCATGTGGCCGACCCGGGTTTGATCCCCAGCATCCCATATGGTCCCTTGAGCACTGCCAGGAGTGATTCCTGAGTACAGAGCCAGGAGTAGCCCCTGAACACTGCCAGGTTTGGCTCCAAAACAATAAGAAACAACAACAAAAAAAAAGATTCTGCCGGGGCCTGAAGTACAGGAGCGCTTGTCTTACATGCTGCTGACTCAGGTTTGATCCCGGCACCCCATCTGGTTCCCCGAGCACTACTGGGAGGGACACCAAACTTCACTGGATATGGCTCAACTCCTGCCTTCTAAGCCCGAGAGTCTCCTAGTTGGCGACCTTGAGAGTAGCCTGCCTGCTGAGGTTCCAGGTGGGGCGTGTATGAATTCTGGAGCTGCAGCCAAGCCTCTGCATAGATTCCAGGCTTGGGGGGCGTCTACGGGAATGTGACTCCGGGCCTGGCGCTCTGTCCGCAGGGGAGCACCGTGGCCTGGGTGCTGGCATCTCCAAGGTGCGGAGCCTGAAGATGGACAAGAAGGTGTGGACAGAAACACTCATCCAGGTGAGAAGGCCCTTGCTTGCCCCCTGCAGGGTTGGGGGGAGGGGAACCAAGAAGATACAGTAGAGGCTGTAAGAGAGACAAAGTACCTGGCAGCAGACACTGTATCTCCTTAAAAGTAAAGCGTTTCCGTCTGTCTCCTGTGGCTGTTTGTAGGCAGGCCAGAATCGGGGGTGGGGTGGTACACACTTGCGTATGTGCACTTGGGCCCAGGAGGCAGGACCCCAGCCCTCCCAGAGAGCAGCCAAGCTTCAGCCCCCAGGGCAGTGAGTGACAGGTTCTCCAGGAGTCTGGCCTAGAGTCCCTGGCTTACAGGCAGGCGGACTCAGACCCAGAGGCAGACAGTGGCTTGCCCAGTCACGGAGGGTTCAGTGGTGGCAGCTGGGACCCCAGCAACCCACACAGGGCCCCGTGAGAGGCCAGGCGGCGCCCCGGGCCGCGGCTCTGGATCTGGAGGAAATGAGTCAGTGATTCCAGGGCCCTCTGCGCCGGCACCCAGGTCCCCTCATGCTCTGAGCCCCAAGGAATGAGTGTCAGGCGGTGTTTCCATTCCTGGCCCGCACACTGGCTCCTGGGCCAGCCACACCCTGACCTGTGCTAGCCTCGGAACGCGCAGCGCCCACTCGGACACCAGCTCACTGCCCCGTGGCCCGGCCCTGGGTCCAGCGCGCCGGAGTCCAGCACGAGGCTAGTCCCCAGAGGAACCACAGCCCCTGGTCAGATGCTGCCCTTCTGAGCCCCTGCCCGTGCCCGCAGCTCTTCCTCCAGCTGGGCAATGGTGCTGGGAACCACTTCTGGGCGGCCAATGTGCCCCCGAGCGAGGCCCTACAGCCCAGCAGCAGCCCCGGAGCCCGGCGGCGCCACCTGGAGGCCAAGTACCGTGAGGGCAAGTACCGCCGCTACCACCTGCTCTTCGGCAACCAGGAGGAGCTGGACAAGGTTAGGGCGCCCTGCTCTGGGCTCCGTGAGATCACCCCCTTGCCTCCTGCCTGCCCCCTCTCTCTGTCTGCTATTCCTTCTCAATCCGTCTCTCCGCCAGCTCAGCAAGCTAGCACCTGGGGAAACTGAGGCCAGAGGGTGGATGCACCCCCTCTAGGGTGTACGTGGAGCTGGGGGAGAACAGGGAGGAGACAGTCCCGGTCCCAGGGCCAAGGCCACGTCCCCAGCGTCTGTCTGGCTCCTCCCCTCCCGATCCCTCTGTCTCCCGCACCCTGTCCTGCTCCTGCTGGACGCTGCCAAAAGGAGGGAGCTTGACGGGGATGCTATTTCCTGTCAGGCTCATGAAAAACAGCTGCTCTCCCACCCACCCCGTCCCCACCCTGCTCCGAGGAGGCCCCGCAGGCGGGAGCCCCACAGGCCCTGGTCTGGCCGCAGAGCAGGAGGCGGGCGGCCCCGGGCTGGGGGATGCCTCTCGTGACCCTGGGTCAGCCTGCGGCTGCCCGCCCAAATCAGCCCCACACAGCCGCCCGGGCGGGCGGGAGCCGGGCCTTCACCTCCCGGGAACCCAGGCGTCCAGCCCCGGGCCCTGCCCAGTCCAGCCGCCAGCCAGGAGGGGCGGCAACTCCCATTGGTTAGAAGGGCTGGGCAGGCGGCGAGGAATTCAAATGTGGGAGGAATTAGCTACAAAGCACCCCCGTCCCTCCACCAGCCGGAGAGCCGGAGAGCCTCTCGAGAGCAGGTTTGGCGACGGGCGGATCTGTGTGGGGTGGGCGGCCGAGCCCCTGCCCACTCGGCCTCCTGCCCCTCGGCCTTCCTCCTCCTTCAGATGGACCCCTTAGACCTGGCTCCTCCTTCCTCTCCCCTCCCACCCCTCCTCTCTGCACAGGCTGACCCTCTGTCCCTTCCTCCCAGGCCCTGTGTGCGGCAGTGACCACCTCGGATCTGGCCGAGACCCAGGCACTCCTGGGCTGCGGGGCTGGGGTCAACTGCTTCTCGGGGGACCCCACGGCCCCCACTCCACTGGCGCTAGCTGAGCAGGCGGGCCAGACACTGCAGATGGAGTTTCTCCGGAACAACCGGACCACGGGTGAGCAGCGGGAGTCAGGGTGTGGTGGGGGGTGAGATCTCCCCCCAGGCGGGGGGCTCCAGGGGCCTTCCTGAGGTGTGAGTCCTGCTGCCTGCTGGCACAGTGCACGTACCACGGCTGAGCTGGGTGCCTGTGCCCGCGCGTCGGCGTCTGTCTCTCTCCAGGATTGCAGCATGCCTGCCTCGTAGCTGCTGTGGCTGTGTGACCTGGCACCCAGGGGCACGTGCGTGCGTGCGTGCGTGCATGCGTGCCTGCGTGCATGCCTGTGTGTGTGTGTGTGCACGCGCGCGCATGTGTTAGTTGGGGGTGGGGTGGCATTTCTCCATGCGTGGGTGACCAGCCAGGCAGCCCTGTGTTCTGAGTCTCTGGGTGGGGCTCTGTCTCTGACCGGGGCTGGCTCCCGCTCTCTCTCCCTCTCCGGGTGGGTGAGGAAGGGCTGGGAGTGGGGGTGATTAGAGCTGATGAGGGTCCAGACCTAGCCTGGGGACCACATCCCAGGACTGAGGGCGTAGCTCGGCCAGGGCTCTGGGCTCGGGCCATGGTGGGTGGGGTATGCTGGACTGGAGTGAACCCAGGTGTCCAGGGAGGTACGGAGACCACCCAGCCAGCCCTGGCTTGGGGAACGCTGGGAGCGGGGCTGGATCCAGACTGTGTCCTGGGGCTTTGTGTGATCGGAACCACCTCCCAGGAGTGCTTTTGGGCTGGACCCAGTCCTCCTTGTTTTGGGGCTGTGGAGTCAGAGGGGCTGGCCAGAAGGGGAGGGCGTGAAGGGGCCCTGGGGAGTGGGGTGGGGTTTGCATAGGTGGGCAGAAGGGAGCCTAGTTTGGGTGGAACTCTGGGGATCAGAGGGTGGGGTTGAGAGTCAGGCTGGTGACCTGGATGCCCAACCAAGGTGGGGGGTGGAGGGGTCAGGTGGGGGAAACCCCAGAGGGAGCAAGCCCAGCTAATCTCTGCCCTACTTCTCCAAAGAGGTCCCCCGGCTGGACTTGGGGAGGCCCCTGGATAAGCACTACTCTGTGGTCCTGCCCACGGTCAGCTACAGTGGCTTCCTCTACAAGACGGCCTCCGCTGGCAAGCCCCTACAGGACCGCCGTGCCCGGGAAGGTGGGTGCCAACTGCACCAGAGCCATCACCAGGGGATCCGGGCAGCCAGGCTCGGGGTCCCTGGTGGGCTTCTAGGATGTGGTATGGGGTACCCAGCAGATACCAAATAAGTGTGTCCGAGGGGATGATGGACCATGGGGCTGCAGGACAGGTCGCCACCCACTTCCTGGAGGCTGATGATGCCGTCTGGGCATGGCCCGGGCGTGCGGTCCTTGGAGCTAGCAGCACTGGGAAGGTTGAAGCCTGAGCTGCATCTCGAACCCGCTGCCTCCTCGGAGAAACCCACAGTGGGGACCACACCCGCAGACCCCTGTATGTCCGTCCACCACCCACGGCCCCACTGGGTCGGGCACACAGCTGCGGTCCATGGCGCTCCCTCTTCCCTCTGAGATGGCTCAAAGGGCTAAGCTCATGTGCTGAGTGTGGGAGGCCTGGGTTCGATCCCCAACACTGCACATCACTGGGAGTGACACTTCCTACAGAGCCGGGCTGGAAGCCCCAGCTGTGCCAGCATCACCCTTCCCCCATCAGGCATTATTTACTGATAGCAACGTAGCACTGTCATCCCGATTTGCTCAAGCGGGCACCAGTAACGTCTCCATTGTGAGACTTGTTTCTGTTCTTGGCATATTGAATACGCCACGAGGAGCTTGCCAGGCTCTGCCGTGCGGGTGGGATGCTCTCGGTAGCTTTCTGGGCTCTCTGAGAGGGACGGAGGAATCGAACCCAGGTCGGCTGCGTGCAAGGCAAATGCCCTACCTGCTGTGCTATTGCTCCAGTCCATTTACTGATAATCATAATTTATTTCCAAGTACATTTTTATTTTTTTTTTATTTTTTTGGTGATGCACAGTGATGCACAGGGGCTACTCCTGGCTCTGCACTCAGGAATTACTCCTGGCGGTGCTCGGAGGACCATATGGGATGCTGGGACTTGAACCCGGGTTGGCTGCGTGCAAGGCAAACACTCTACCCACTGTGCTATTGCTCCAGCCCCTCCAAGTACATTTTTAGGAAAATTATGTGAATCCCCCCTCCTCCCAGGGGTCTGAACTGAGGAGTCTGGACCCTCAGTTTAAGAAGCTGGGCTTCTGGGGAGTGCAGGGGTAGGGCTCTTACCTTGTAAGCAGCTGACCCAAGTTTGATCCCTGTTCTCCCATATGATTCCGGAGCCCTCCCAGGAGTGACCCCTGAGTGCAGAGCCAGGAGTTAGCCCTGAGCAGCGCTGGGTATGGGCCAAAAATGAACAGAAGGGAGCTGAGCTTTAGGGGATGGGGGTGGTCTGGGCTGGACCCCAGAGAGAAGGATGGCTCTGGGGGAAGCTGGCACGTGAGAGTGAAGAAGCCAAGGCTGGGGCAGAGGTGGGGATCGGGGGAGCTGCAGAGGTGGCGGTTCCCTCATGGCCTCCCCGCCCTCCTTCTCCCCAGAGTTCAGTCGGCGCTGGTGTGTGCTGGCCGACGGGGTCCTGAGCTACTACGAGAATGAGCGGGCAGTGACCCCCAACGGGGAGATTCGGGCCATCGAAATCGTGTGCCTTGCTGTACTTCCTCCTGACACCCACGGGTGAGCCCCTGGGAAGAATCGCAGACGGCCTGCTGCAGCCCTACGGTTGCCCGTCTTGGGATGAGACAGTGCTCGGGGGGCCTTGGGGCCACTCTCGGGGATCTGGGCTCTACTGGCAATGTATGCTGGGGGCCTGCAGCGTGACGGACCCCAGCACCCAAGGCCGTGAGCTGTCGGCTCAGCTTTCCTGGTCTTGTTTTTAGTGGGGCTGGGGGAGGGGGGCAACATCTGTGCTTGGGGTGCTTGGGGGACCACAAGGTGCTGAAACCCCTACCTCCCGGATGCCAAGCCTGCTGTCCCCCCGCTGGACACCCACTATCACTCCAGCCTGCTGCTACTTTTTCTTTTCCTGGCTGGCCATTGGAAGCAAGGAGTCGACGCTGCTTGGGCCCTGCGGAGACCCAGACCACCCCCCGCGATGCTCAGGGACTCCCGGCACAGTGCCCAGTGGTGCTGGGCATCCTCCATGGCTGCACTCAGCCATGGTCCGGGGACAGCGGTGTTACTAATGGAACCAAGTGTGTGCTGGGCAGGCACCCTAAGTGCTGTGCTGTCTCCCAAGAGTGCGGGGACAGTCTGGAGGGCGGGGCGGGACGGGCCTGAATCCTGGTGCCTGTGCCCACAGCTTTGAGCACACCTTCGAGGTATACACTGAGGGCGAGCGGCTATACCTGTTCGGACTGGAGAGTGCGGAGCAGGCTCGTGAGTGGGTGAAGTGCCTCGCTAAGGTGGGCTTGGGTTGGCCGGCGTGTGTGGGAGAGTCTGGCAGGGCCCCAGGGGACCCCATTGGCCCATCCCATGTACTTTCTGCTCCCTGCCTCATGGAGCAGAGGCTGACCAGTCTGTAGCCCCTGCGGGAAGTCAGAACTGTGTCCCTCTGGAGGACCCTGGCCTTCCTCCTGGTTTCAGCATCAGTGCCTAGCAGGGCAAGGGGCGGGGGCTCCTAGCACTGCTTCTAGGGGGAATGGGCTCTGGTTTGGGATGGGGTGGGGGTGGGAAGGCTGTCCTGGGGGCCAGGTACCCCCTCAGAGCTTGGTGTTAGCTCTGCAGTTAGCTGTCAGGCTGGCCAGACAGCAGTGACAGTGTAACTAGTGCCACTGGGAGGCGTCCACTCCAGCCCCGGAAGGAATGTCACTGATGGTGTCCGGGGACTTTCTGGAGGAGAGCAGAGCTGAGGGACTGTGAAGGGGTGCACAGCTCCTGAGTTTGCTCACCATTCTGCCTGGCTCTGTCCAGAGAAGAGGCGGCTGGTTGGGAAGAAGGCAGGGGGCCCCTGTGCACGGAGCTGGGGTGTCCAGGCCTGCAGTACTGCGGGCTGATGGTCTCCCTGGCCACCTCCCCTTCCCTGGCCTTCCTCCCAGGCGTTCGTGCCTCCCCTGGCTGAGGACCTGCTGGCCCGGGACTTTGAGCGGCTAGGGCGTCTGCCCTATAAAGCCAGCCTGAGGCTGCAGTGGGCCCAGGAGGGCTGGTTCTCCCTGGCTGGCTCGGAGCTCCACACCGTCTTCCCGGAGGGGCCCTGCGAGGAGCCGCTGCAACTTCGGAAGCTGCAGGAGCTCTGTGCGTGTCCTCAGACCCGGGTGCCCCACCCCCAGAGCCCCATCTCTGGGGCTTCCAGTCCCTGGAAGACTGAATTCTGCCCTGGCCTGGCCTGACCAGCCCGCCCTCTGGTGGCCTCTCCCATCTCACAACCAGGTCTTGGGGGGAGGAGGGTTGCGGGTCCCCACTGTTGACCCTCAGGAGGGAGCAGGTTGGGAATCATCACAAGGTCTGGGCCTCACCTGCACCGGCCCTTCCACAGCCATCCAAGGGGACAATGAGAACCAGGTGCTAGTGCTGGTGGAGCGCAGGAGGTAAGGCCAGCTTCTCGGACAGGATTAGGGGGGATGGTTCAAGAATAGAGTCCCCCTCACTGCAAAGTAATTGATTATCCCCTGTGCAGGACGCTTTACATCCAGGGGGAGCGGCGGCTGGACTTCACGGGCTGGCTGGGAGCCATCCAGAAAGCTGCGGCCAGCTCAGGGGACACGCTGTCGGAGCAACAGCTGGGAGATTCCGATATCCCGGTGATCGTGTATCGCTGCGTGGACTACATCACGCAGTGCGGTGAGGCCCGCCCCCACGGCGTAAGCCCCGCCCCACCAGGGAGCCTCCGCTCCCCACTGGCTGAGAGCAGCAGGGTCCCGCCCCGAGCCCCGCCCACCTCAAGACCACACCCCCTGAGCCACGCCCCTCTGGGCCACGCTCCTCCCCAGGCCTGACCTCCGAGGGCATCTACCGCAAGTGCGGGCAGACGTCGAAGACGCAGCGGCTGCTGGAAAGCTTACGGCAGGATGCGCGCTCCGTGCGCCTCAAGGAGGGCGAGCAGCACGTGGATGACGTCTCCTCCGCGCTCAAGCGCTTCCTGCGGGACCTACCTGATGGGCTCTTCACCCGAGTCCAGCGCCTCGCCTGGCTGGAGGCATCAGGTAGGCCCCTGCCTCCGGGGTCCACGCCAGGGCGCGCCTTCCCCCACCCCCACCCTCGCCCCAACCCCTTGCCCATCCGTCCCAGCATTCCTGCCCTCTCACCTGTCACACACTTGGACCTGCCTCTGCAGATTGGCCACCGCCTCATTTTGTCCCTGCAGAGTCAGAGTTAGGGACTTCCCTTGTGGAGTGCCAGGCCTGGCTTGGCTCCCCAGGGGCCCTGACCGAGGACAGGGCAGATGAGACGCTTCCTGACCTCTGTTTCCCCTCCCAGAGATTGAGGAGAAAGAGAGCAAAGTCTCCAGGTACCGAGAGCTCCTGGCACGTCTGCCTCCAGTCAACCGGGCCACCGTGAAGGCCCTGATCAGCCACCTGTACTGGTGAGGGCTCTGGGGGGCGCTGGGGAAGTGCCCTCTTCCAGTCAGCTCAGAGCCCGGCCCAGGCCCGCCAGGGCTGAGCATTGCCTGATGTGCACCGTGGTGTGGGGTCTTTCGCCCCCCTTCCTGCTTCTGGCTGGGTGGGGAGGGACTTCTGCTTGGGGTCATGGGATCTTGGCCAGATCGCCCAGCTTCCCAGCGCTATTGCTGGCCAGCACCCAGAGCCCGGCCAGAAACACTGTCCACATCTCCTCAGCTCTGGTGTTCCCACCCCCCACCCCCAGGACCTTCCCTGGCTTCATGCCAGGCGCGGGACATGGGCTTCTCAGGCACCGGGAAGGAGGGGGGGGCTTTCCAGGCTGACCCCTCCCTCTGGGCTTCCCTCCTCCCCACCCCAGTGTCCAGTGCTTCTCAGACACGAACCAGATGAACACACACAACCTGGCCATCGTGTTCGGGCCCACACTCTTCCAGACGGACGGGCAGGACTCCAAGGCAGGCCACGTTGTGGAGGACCTCATCGGTCACTACGTGGCGGTATTCAATGTGCGTCCCATGCCTGTGGGTGGCAGCTGCAGGGTGGGGACAGAACAGAGACCCCCCCAGCGCCGGGCGGCCGTGACTGTTCATCTCTGCCCCTGCCTGACATGCAGGTGGATGAGGAAGAACTGAGGAAGCAGCGGGAGGAAGTCACCGCCATCGTGAAGATGCGCGTGGCGGGCACAGCCAGCGGGACCCAGGTGAAGGACAGGGCCTGGGGTGGGATCGGGTCAGCTGGCCCTGTCGTGGCCACCACCTCGGTCTTCAGCGGGGCCTGTCCCTCCACAGCACGCCGGTGACTTCATCTGCACCGTGTACCTGGAGGAGAAGAAGGCGGAGGCTGAGCAGCACATCAAGGTGCGTGGGGATGTGGCCACGGGGACGCCCCCCGCAGGGGCCTGCTCTGGTCTGGTCCAGCCTTTGGGCCTAGGGCTTCCCGGCCCCTCACCATCAGGGCCTGTCAGAGCTTCCCTGGCAGCTGGGGACTCCAGAGGCCCCTGCAGGGTGGGGGTGCCCGGAATGGCCATGGCTCATCTCCCCTCCTGTCTGCCTCTCACAGATCCCGGCTTCCATGACGGCCGAGGAGCTCACGCTGGAGATCCTGGATCGCCGGAACGTGGGCATCAGGGAGAAGGACTATTGGGTCTGCTTCGAGGTCAACGAGAGGGAGGAGGCCGGTGAGTGAGCTGGAGGGGCCGTGGGGTGTGGTGGTGCTGCCCACTCGCCCACCGGGGCCTGCCCTGCCGAGCTGAGAGGGCAGGTCGTGGACACAGGTAATGTCCTCATTGAGGGCAATAGCGTGTTAGAGGCAGGGGCTGGCTGACATGGGGCTGGCGGAGTCACAGTGAAGGGGGGATTGGTGTCCTCCGCCTGAATGGTGAGACTGGCTTTGCCTGTGGGATTGTGCGGAGTAGGGGAGGGTGACGGCTTGGTGTGGGCTGCTTGGGAGGGTGTTAGTGCAGTTCGGTGCAGATAAGCCTGGGGATTTTGTTTCGTGTGTGGTGCTGGAGCTGGAGCCCGGGCTTCACACACGCAAGGCAGGCATCCGGGGGCTGGGGAGACAGTGCAGGGGATAAGAGAGAGTTGGGGCCGCAGGTGGTCCCCCAGGAGTGGTCCGGAGCACAGAGTCAGGAGTAAGCCCTGGGGTTGGAGAGATAGCACAATGGGTAGGGCATTTGCCTTGCACGCGGCCGACCCGGGTTCGATTCCCAGCATCCCATATGGCCCCCTGAGCACCGCCAGGAGTAACTCCTGAGTACAGAGCCAGGAGTAACTCCTGTGCATCGCCGGGTGTGACCAAAAAGAACAAAAGGAGTAAGCCCTAAGCATAGCTGGGTGTGGCCCCCAAACCAAATGAGCTACAGTAGAATTCCCCAGCTAACAACAAAAGATATGCAAAGCACATGCCTGGCTCCTGAGCCACACCCCTGCTGCTCGGTGCCAGCGAGGGGCAGGGTGCTGGAGGCACGAGGGGCACGGGAGGCATGCTGGCTGCTACGCGGACATCGCCTGCCATTCAGTAGGCCCGGGGGCCTGCCCTGGACTGACGCAGACATAGATCCTCCCCTTGCAAGCCGTCTGCTGTGGCAGACACGTTCATCCTGTGGTCACACCTCTGGGTGCCCGCTGCTGTGCAGCACGTTAACTGCTGCCTTGGAAGGGGCCTCGGCGCCAAAAGAGCTTAGAATAGTCTCCCAGGGCCAGAGAGTGGTGCAGGGTCATCCCCGGTCCAGTCCCCTGCACCCCCCAGAGTGATCCCCCAAGCCCTGAGCACAGAGCCCAGAATGACCCCTGAGCACTGTTGGGTGTGACTCGCCCCCTCCTACCACTCAAATCTCGCCGCCAGAGAGCTGGTGTTCCAACCAGGCAGTCCCTGGAGGGGAGGGCGTGGGTTACTTGGTGAAGGAGTTGTTCAGAGAAGAGCTTCTGGGCCTCGGAGGCAGGTGCCCTGGGTGGTGGGACACCAACCTTATGCAAGGAGTTTGGAGTGACACCGTTGTGGCAGGGCTGGGCTGGAGATGGAGATGGTTTTCACCACGCCCGCCAGGGCAGCACCGTCCAGGGCCCCACAGGGGGGTGGCAAAGGAGGGGCAGGGGGAGCACAGACAGGAGAGGAAGGAGGACTCGGGCAGTGAGTCGGGGGCGGGAGGGTGGGAGGGAGCAGGCTTGGGTTCTGCGGGAGCACCCCTGCCCACAGGCCCGGGGCCTGCTCCGGATGGACACACAGCAGATGTCAGGCCAGTCTGGGGCACTGAGTCAGGCCCGAGGCTCTGGCGCGTGGAGGGAGGACCCGTGACCCGGGTCCGGGGCCTGTGACAGCGGGGTGACCTCTCCCCAGAGCGGCCCCTGCACTTCGCAGAGAAGGTGCTGCCCATCCTGCACGGGCTGGGCACGGACAGCTACCTGGTGGTGAAGAAGTACCAGTCCATGGAGGCCATCCTGCTGTACCTGGGTAGGTGCGCAGTGCCACTCGCGCTCTCGGGCCCTTCCCCCGGGACTCGTGCCCATGCCCACCCGCTCCTCCCCCAGCCAGCCACGTGGGTGACACCAAGCACGGCATGATGAAGTTCCGCGAGGACCGCAGCCTGCTGGGCCTGGGCCTGCCCTCGGGTGGCTTCCACGACCGCTACTTCATCCTCAACAGCACCTACCTGCGGCTCTACAGGGAGATCCGGGTGAGCGCCGCACCCCTGCACACGGGCCCTGGGGCAGGAGGGCCGCACTGAGTGTGCCACACTCTGCACACGGGGCCCTGGGCTATGGTGGGGTGTCCACACCCCTGCACTGGGCCCCCTGGGCTATGGTGGGGTGTCTACACCCCTACACACAGGATTCTGGGTTATAGCAGGGTGTTCACACCCCTGCACTAGGCCCCCTGGGCTATGGCGGGGTGTCCACACCCCTGCACACAGGGCTCTGGGCTATAGAAGGTGTCCACACCTCTGCACTGGGCTCCCAGGGTTATAGAGGGTGTCCACACCCCTGCACATGGGGCTCTGGGCTATAGAGGGTGTCCACACCCCTGCACTGGGCCCCCTGGGCTATGGTGGGGTGTCCACACCCCTGTACACAGGGCTCGGCTATAGAAGGTGTCCACACCCCTGCACTGGGCCCCCTGGGCTATGGTGGGGTGTCCACACCCCTGTACACAGGGCTCTGGGCTATAGAAGGTGTCCACACCCCTGCACTGGGCCCCCTGGGCTATGGTGGGGTGTCCACACCCCTGTACACAGGGCTCTGGGCTATAGAAGGTGTCCACACCCCTGCACTGGGCCCCCTGGGCTATGGTGGGGTGTCCACACCCCTGTACACAGGGCTCTGGGCTATAGAAGGTGTCCACACCCCTGCACTGGGCTCCCAGGGCTATAGAGGGTGTCCACACCCCTGCACATGGGGCTCTGGGCTATAGCGGGGTGTCCACACCCCTGCACTGGGCTCCCTGGGCTATAGTGGGGTGTTCACACTCCTGTGCACTGTGCTCTGGGCTATAGAGGGTGTCTACACCCCTGCACCAGGTCCCTGGGCTATTGTGGGGTATCTGAAGCCCTGCACATGGGGTTCTGGGCTATAGAGAGTGTCCACACCCTTGCACACTGGGCTCTGGGCTATAGAGGGTGTCCACACTCCTGCACCTGGCCCCCTGGGCTATAGCGGGGCTCTCACTTGCACCGAGTCCCATCACAGGGTCAGGTGACGGCTGGGTGGCAGGACAGTTGTGTGCCCTCAGGACCCCTTGCAGTGGCTCCAGCGGCCGCCCTCTGAGCGCTGAGCCCCACGGCGGCTGGTCTCTGGAGACCGTCCTTCTGCACTGCCAGTCACAGCCTGTCAGCCCCACCCCCGATATTCCGCGTGGTTGAGCCCCTGTCTCACCCGACGGGCCCTCCCCTCCCCGTCCCTCACCCTGGCCATGTTCTCGGTGTCCGCCAAGCCCGACTCCATCCTGCCCCCCACACACCTGCACCCCGACTCTGCCTGCCTTCCTCTGTAACCCCGATCCTCTATCAAACAGAGCCAGAGGCCGTGGAGCGGGGCCCCCGACGCCGTGAGTAGTGGGGCAGCTGCCTTCCACCGCCTGGGGGCCAGGCCAGCCTGCGGGGGACGGGCAGGGCTGCGCCCCCGCGCTCCCTAGGCATGGCTCCCGCCCTTGTCAGTCGTCGTCTGTGCTCCCCCTCCTCCCCTCCATCCTCCTCCGGCCGGTGGCTGAGGTCTCGGAGCTCCAGCGTCTGCACATGGGACCGCGTCGGGGTTCCCAGCCCTGCAGAGACACAGTCCCTGGGAACGCCCCTGTCCCTCCTCCTGGGGGGGGGCACCCTTACTAGCAGCCCAGCCAGGAGAGCGTAGCCTCTCCCCGGGGCCCGCTTAGCTGGGAGAAGGCCCTGGTTGAGGTTCAGCTGAAAATCTGCTTTTCAAAAAGGCCCTGAACACAGACCCCATGAGGACAGACGATGCATGTTCCCAGGGGTCTCGCCTGAGTCCCCACAGCTGCTTCAGCCCCTGACAACCCCTAGTTGCCCAGGCTGCGGGCAGGAAGAGGGGGAGCAGAGCAGCCAAGCTAGACCCTCCCCTCCTTCCCTCTGCACGCCATATCTTTGTTAATGCAGCCTGGGCTCCTGCCCAGCCCGTGGGGAGCGTCCCCCCACTCCTGGTCTGAAGGCTTCTCTACCCCTCCCATCAGTGACCCTCGGTCCTGGGGTGATGGTCGCTCCCTGTTCGGGACCCTGAGACTAGGACAGGCACATTCTAGGGAGATGGTCCCAGCAGAGGCCTTCGAACACCAAAGCATCCGACCCCCTCTGCCATGACCCCAGAGGTGGGGGCACGCCTGGGCACCCGAGGGCTCACGCATGCTCCCGGCGGCCCCGCCCAACTCCAGGAAGCGAGGCCTGAGCTGTCTTCACTTTCCCAAGTCTCCTTGGGAGACCCCTGGGGTGTGCGTTCCTCCATCACCCGTGGTTCTCTCCCTGCCCTTTCTGGAACCTTCCTTCCTGCAGCCACTCTGGGTTCACTGCACTCACAGGCCCATCGCACCCTGTGTCCCCTTGTTCCCAGCGCTCTGGGCTGCTCGGTCATGGCCAGAGCAGGCGTCAGTGGGGGAGACGCAGAGCCCCCCCACCCCGCCGGGCCCGTCATTAAGGGCTGCAGAGAAAGGCCCCTGGTCAGCACCTCTGGACCTCACCCCTGAGCCCCCTCAGCTGCCTGTCCTCTCAGAGCCTCTCAGGACAGCCCCCGGCTCCGACCCTCTCCCTCCCGACCTCTTCTGTCCCGCCAAGAAGCCATGCCTGGGGGTGGCGGGGGTGGACAGAGGCGGCTTGGACGCTGGCCCCCAGTGTCGGCTGTAAGTGAGTCCCCCCTTCCCTGCTCTTCACCCTGCACCGGGGACGCCCAGTGGGGGCAGGGCCACCAGCAGGTGGCTCTTGGAGCAGGGGGGCGATGTCATCAGCTTGACGCTAGGGCTCATGGGTCGCTGTGCCCGCCCGGACACCGGTCTCCGCGAGGCTCCGTCTTTGGCCTCCAGACCGCTGCCCTGCTTCAGCTTGACCGGTCCCCTACCCCGGAAGCTCGGGGGGTTGGGGGACCTGCTGGCCACGAGGCAACCACTCACACAGTCAGCCCTGAGCTGGGGGGCTGCGGAGGGCCCAGGGCACTGGGTCAGCACCGCGACGGGCCACTGGCCATGCTCCTGGCCAGGCCTGCGGCTGCGGGCTGACTGTCTGACACTGCCGCATAGAGGCGGGGGCAGGGAGGGCTTCCTGGAGGAGGCTCCCCATGAGGGGGGCCTCAGGGTCTGCCCTGGCCCAGACTTACCCCAGGGCCTGTGCTGTCCTCTCCACCCCTAGAGTCACCGGCCTGAGAAAGAGTGGCCCGTCAGAAGCCTCAGAATCTACTTGGGGGTGAAGAAGAAGCTCCGGCCGCCCACCTGGTGAGCGGGGCCATCGGGGCGCTGGCTCATTCCCGGGGCCTTTGAACTGGACAGGGGTGAGCTCAGGGGTCCCGGTAGGGCGGCTTGGCCGACCCTGGCTGCTCTGGTGGGTCAGCGCCTGTCTCCCCACCCCGGGCAGGGCCCCAGCTGCCATCAGGACGTAGGTGTGGGGACCACCAGTGCTCACCAGGCCTCAGTGCAGCAGGGTGGAGGGGCCGGAGGCTTGAGGGCAGCCGAACTGGGCTCCTGCCCTCGCTCAGGTTCAGAGGAGGACACAGGGGGAGTCAGCCCCCGGGTGACCCTGGCCACACACCGAGAGGGCTGGCGAGAGTTGCTGGAGCACAGAGGCTGCTGGCCCGGTGCTGGGGAGCGCAAGGCAGTCCTCCCTCTCGGCACCAGCCCTCCTCACAGTCCGATTCACGGGCGCCTAAACTTGGCTCTCCTGCTTCTGCTCACAGACCCCAGCCGTGCCTGGGCTGGGAAGTTGGGGGGAGGGGGGGCGGCAGGGCCGTGGCGGAGAGGAGGGTCCCCGAGCTGGCCCTGGCTCTGGAGCACGCCATGTGGCGCCCGGGCCCTCCCGTGACGCCGCCTGTCCCTTCCCTGCAGCTGGGGCTTCACGGTGGTGCATGAGACGGAGAAGCACGAGAAGCAGCAGTGGTGAGTGTGGGCCCGGCTGGGGAGGTGCAGGCCGGCAGTGGCAGTGGGCAGGGCGACCCCATACCGGCCCCTGGCAGTACCCAGAGTTCTGTGCCCCACCCCCCCAGGTACCTCTGCTGTGAGACGCAGATGGAGCTCCGCGAGTGGTTCGCCACCTTCCTCTTTGTGCAGGTACCAGCCCTAGTCCTGCCCTCAGATGCAGGAGCGTGTCCTGGGACAGGGTCTTGGGGGACGAGCAGGAGCCAGTGTCCTGGGTGGGGCCTTTGGGAGCAAGCAGGGGCGGGTGTCCTGGAGCGAGGTCTCTGGGGAGGAGAATGCTCCGCAAAGACAGAGCAGAAACAAGGCCCATGGGGGTTCAGTACACGTCGAGGTGAGGCCGAGTGTCCGATTGTGGGGCTGAGGGGTGGGTGGAAGGGATGAAGCCAGACGGCCAGAGCTGGCACCGGAAGGGAGGCAGCAGGACCCCGAAGAGCCTGGAAGGTCAAGCTAAGGGAACCGTTTTTGACCTGGTGCAGAGTGAGGGGGGAGTCCAGGCGAGAAGGGAGGCAGGCAGGGTGAGTTGAGAGGCTGCTCCCAGGCAGCAGGTGGGCTGGCAGGTGAGGGGGTGGCCGGGAGGTGAGGAGGAGTCGGGTGGCCAGAGGTGCTGTGGCCAGGAAGCAGCTGGGCGGTGAAGACTCTCCCCGTCACTCCCACAGCTCACTAAGCATCGCTGAGAAGTGCTCAGGGTAACGATTGGCAAAATAGTTCCAGCGCCCTAGACTCCATTCAGCACTTTTTTCTTTCTTTGGTTTTCGGGCTGGAGCGATAGCACAGTGGGTAGGGCGTATGCCTTGCAGCGGCTGGCCCGGCCGAGCCGGGTTCGATTCCTCCGCCCCTCTCGGAGAGCCTGGCAAGCTACTGATAGTATCTCGCCTGCACAGGAAAGCCTGGCAAGCTCCCCGTGACATATTCGATATGCCAGACACAGTAACAAGTCTCACGCTGGATGCCGGGAAGCTGGTCCTGTCCTCACAGCGGCATCCAGTGCTGCAGGCATTTCCAGGAAGGGTGGGTGGGTCCGGGCCGAGGGTCTGAGCCATCGGAAGGCCAGCGGGGGCCCCCCTTCTCCTCCTCTCCCCTGCCAGCACAACGGGCAGGTGTGGCCCTCGGAGCCCTCGCGAGTGTCCCGGGCGGCCCCCGAAGTCCGTCTGGGCAGCGTGTCGCTCATTCCCCTGCGTGGCAGCGAGAACGAGATGCGCCGCAGCGTGGCCGCCTTCACCAACGACCCCCTCTCGGTGCGTGGCCAGTGGCCCGAGGGGAGGGGCTGGGGGCGTGGCCGGGGCCGCCTGGGCCTGACTCCCCTCCGGGACCCCTGTGTCCTCCCCACCCCCACAGCTCCTCCGCAACGCCTGAGCACTGGAGCAAGAGCAGGAGCCTGACTTGGCTGCCCTCCAGCCTCTGGCCCCTCCGCCTGGAGCAGGGGTGGCCTGGTGAGCGCCAGCAGACCCCCACGCCTACAGCCGCCCTGGCGGGATTGGGTCCAGCCGGGCCTGCCTGGGGAGACCCGCCCGCTTGCTGTGCCTGGGGGCTCAGCCCTCGTCCAGGGCCCCCTTCCCAGAGTGATGGGGGTCAGGGGGGCAGAGATCACAGACTGCGGGACCCCCGTCCATACAGAGGCCTGGGCCCCGGGGCCCCCGCTGGAAGGGAGCCCGCCCCTATCTCCAGAGCTGCACAGAGGTTACAAAGGGACATCAGCGGGGACAGGACTGGGGGCCAGCCCTCTACGAGGGAGAGAACTGGACTCGGGGACGGCAGCCCCCTGCTGGCCTGCGCTGGCCAGGTGGCCCAGGCTGCCTGCTGCCCCCGCCACACTTGGGGACCTTTTGATAATATAAATACATCCGTATATTTTACCCTGTGCCGCTGAGGTCTGTGATGGGAAGGGGGTCCAGGGCCTGTGGAGACAGGACAGATCCTGGGCCCTGCGCCTGCCTCCCTCCGACCCCTGGTGTCCTGTGGACCACGGTCTGAGGCCGGGCAGCCCCACAGACACTCTGGCGAGGAGGTCAGAGGCGCGGGGTCGCTGGGTGGGTTCAACTGAGAGGGGGTCCCCCATGGCCTCGCGACTCAGCCCCCCGGAAGTGGCTGTCCCCTCTGCCACCCACTCTACCCGGCCCAAGGAGCTGCTCAGGGCTGGACTCCCGGAGGGTGCCGCCTTAGCCCAGAGCTTCATTGCCCACCTCTCCTGACCTGCAGGCATGGACAGGCTGCCCTCCCGCCAGGGTCTGGGCATGGGGGCGGGCACTGGGCTCCAGGGGCCTGGTTCCTGAGCCCCCAGTGTCCTACCACTCTTACTTTAGGGGCGCGTGGGGGGTGGGGTGAGCAATCTCTGGGGCTGCTCAGTGCAGAGCCTGGGGTGGGTCCTGATGGAAGCATGGGGATCCCCGGAAAGGTGGGCCGCCAGGGCCTAAAGCCTGAGCTCCAGACATTGGGGCCAGGATCCCCCCAAGAGCCTCCTGCCCCGGCCCAGCCTTGGTGAGCAGCTCTGGGTGCACTGACCATTCCACCATTGCTGGCAGTCAAGGCAAGGCACTTGGCCAAGTTCTCGCGCTGGAATTCTTTCCCAGACCTGATCTCTGAGCAGGGGAGGGGAGGCTGGAGTCAGGACTGCCCTTCCCCTCCCCTCCCCTCCCCTCCCGCCCTCGCCTGGCTTGGCTGTCCACTCCCTGTGCTGCGACTGGCTGCAGTGACCGCAGTAAGCCACCGGGGGGCAGCCTCGGACAGTTCAGCGTGGCTGTTCGCAGCACAGGGCGCCAGGGAGCATGGCTCTGTCGGATGGGCCTCTGCCCCTGCAGCCGGCACAGTGCAGGGTTGTGGTCTGGACAACAGGAGGCGCTGTTTCCTGGCAGCCAGGGAGAGGACCCAGAGGAGGGAGGCCACTTGCCTGAGGACACACAGCCCTCAGGGACCAGAAGCTGAGACCCACTTCACTGCCTTGCCTGCTGCTCTTAGAAGTGACACCCCATGGGTCTCCCCGTTGAGGGAGTCAGGAATGCCGCTCCCAGCAGGGGGATTCCTAAACACAGAGTCTACTTGGGACCCTGCAGGTTCGTTTCCATGTGATCTGGGGTAGGATCGGGGGTCTTGGTGAGGTCCCCCTGGGGCTGGGCCTGCTGGGGGTGGGCAGCAGCTCTCGAGAAGGAGAGAGCTTGGGGGGGGGGGGCCGGCTGTGCCCGCTCTGAGCCTGGCCAGGCGCCAGGGAGCCAAGTCACAGCAGTGCATAGCCGGGGGTGGGGAGGGGTGGTGAGGCTGAGGAGGCTGTGGGGAGAAGGGGCTGGGGTGTGTCTCCCCCACTTTCCTATAAGGCATTCATCAGCCAGTGAAGACCCCTGGGCCCGGCACGTTGCTGGCTCCACAGGAAATCAATGGGGTGAGGATGGGGGGGTCTCTCCCCCATTTCTCCCACCATCCTGGAGCAGAGGCTGGGGGCCAGGCCCTGAATCTGAGCCCCTGACCTGGCCCTCTCCCAAGACCTGTGCACCGCAGGTGGGGGGTGAGAGCTGGTGGTGGCAGGCCCCACGGCTAATCCGGCTCTCACCTGAGTTTGCAGAGGCTAATTAGTCCCGACTGAGGCAGGATACAATGAGCAACCCGTGTCAAGTGCCTCGGACCATCTCTGATGATCCCTCTAATCCCCGTAATCTCCCCAAACACAGCAGGGCACTCTCTGGTCGCTCCCGAACACTGGGAGCAGAGTGGGCGGTGCGGCCCGCGGAGGGCACCTTCCTGACCTCGAGCCCTGTTCCTGCAGCAGGGAGGGCTGTGTGGGGGCCTGTGCCCGCGGGCCATCCGCCCCGTCGCTCTCGGGGCTCTGTGGCCGTGCCCCCCAGCCACAGGCTCCCAGGAGTCGTTCCTGTCCTCAGCTCTGTGCTCTCCCACGCATCCCCGAGGCGGGGCCCGTCTGCCACACACGAAAGGCAGAGTGGCAGGATCTCCTCGGCCCCGGCCCCTCAGCCCACCTTCGGGGAGCTCAGGATTGCCCCACCCCACCCCGCACCGCCCCCATCCTGTTGTTCAGTGTGCGTGCACGTGCGTGTTTGCTGTGTGCACTGTGTGTGTGTGTGAGCATGTGCGCGGCGTGCGCAGCCCAGGTCTGGCCAGGGGCATTGGCAGGGCTCGGCTCCCCATCAGCCCGTTCTGGCCCAACCCCAGTCTGACCCCTCTCCCACCCCACTCCGAGCCTGTGGAAATTTCCACACTTTCTCTGCCCTGGTTACAGCTTCTACTGCTGTATTTATCACCCTGGAGACACAGTGGCACAGGCGCACCCATGCCGCGCACACACACGCGCGCGCGCACACACACACGCGCGCGCACACACACACACACACACACACACACACGGGCCTGCACACGCGTGGTGCCTGTACTCACACACGCGTGCGCACAGGCAGGGCACCCTCATGCACGGAGCTCTCGAGGAAAACGGCACCCCCCACCCCTGCTCCTCCCCCCACCTCCCACCCCAGAACAGGGAGGTGGGGGAGAGGCCGGGCTGGGCCTCCCACCGCCTGTCACCCCCAGATACTGCTGCTTCTGCCTCCAAACTTCCCCCACGCCGCCCCTCCCGCCCCCCCCACCCCGCTTCCCTGCACCCCTGCCCGAGCCTCCTCCCCACTCTGTCATGCTCTCACTCACTCCTCTGCGGTGCCAGGGCAGGGGCGCGGGAGGGGCCTCTTGGAGGCTGAGGAGGCTGAGCAGCCTCCGTTCCTGTCACCGTCAGTCCCTTCTCCCCGATGAGAGGCTTGTGCGCTGCCACTGTGGAGACCAGTGTCATGGCAACACCGTCTGGGTGGGCGCAAACCCCCCAGTTAAGTGGGCATGAGCCAAGTGTTGGGCATGGTCGCCCACCCCCATCTTCAGCTCCGCGGACCCCCCCCCCCCCGGACACCCCCCTTCCCCCACAGCAGCCAGTGTCTAGCCCAGCGTATGTGCGTGCGTGTGTGTGCGTATGTTGGGAAGATCTTCCCAGACTCAGAGGGGCCTGAGGTGCATTTCTAGACTGAGGCCGAGGGGTGCTCAGGGCCCACAGCCTGTCTGGTGGAGCTCCCAACCCGAGTCCCTGCTGAGCGTTTTTTGCAGGGGTGTGGGTTGGGGGACTATTTCCGTTTCCTCAGTAAGAAACCCACAGGCCAGCCCGGCCCATGCTGGGTGACTCGGCTGGGGGCGCTGGGGGGGCACAGGGATGCCGAGGCCTCGCGCTGCCCCCCCTCCCCGGCACCTGAGTTCCCAGCAGGAGGCAAACTCCACTCTGTCTCTCAGTCCTGGCTTCCTTCCGGAGAGTTCTGGGAAGTTCTGGGCCCTGATCACACTCTGGCCTTCGGGTGTCTGGAGGCCGGGATGTTTGTTCTGGAAGAAGGACGTGGAGAGAGGCAGCTTCCAGGGTCAGACAGAGCGTCTGTGGCCGCCTGGGGAGCCTGGGGGGGCGGGGTCGCTGCCTCTGCAGCCTCCTTGGGCATCACTCACATCCCCCCGCAGAGTCCGCAGCCTCCGCCAGGGAGTCTGGGGGTCGGGGAAGGGGAGAAGCCAGTCAGGGCTTGGGGCCCCTAGGAGGGAGGACTCGGGGTGCCCGGGGGAGCAGGGAGGGAGGGAATGGGGCCAAACCTTCCTCGGGGACTGCCCGCCTGGGGTGTGTCCCCTCAGTCTCCAGCTCTGCTGGACAAGGGGGCGAGCAGTGTGGAGACGCCATGGCCGAGGCCAGCCCTGCCCCTGCCCGGGTGTGACCTGGGCGCATCGCTTGACCTCTGTCGCCGCAGCTCTAGCCCCTGTGACAGGGTGTCTGCGGCCAGGTCCCCAAGATAACTCCTACCTGGCCCACCCCTAGGCTTTCTTCCTGCTCCTGCCTTTCACCGTCGCTCCCCAGATCAGCTCATCCTCCCTGGGCCGGCCTCGCACGCCCCGTCTGCAGGGCTGGAGATGCTGGGTAGGGCCCCCGAGATGCCCCCTGCCCCATCCACTGAGCCCCCTCACCTCGACTCCCTGCTTCTGCTCCCAAACCCCCCCCCTCGGCTGACATGGTGGAGAAACTGCCCCTCTCGGACTGGCCTGGGGGCTGGGGGCCTGGCCATCCAGGGAGCAGCGGGCTTCAGGTTAGTGGGGGGCCCATGGGGAGCAGCCTCTAGGCTGAAGAGGGCGAGGTGGAGAAACACTGAGCCCCCCACAGTGACTCTGCCCCACCCCCTCACACCAACAGGCAAGTCGGCACCTGTTGTGAAGGTCCCAGAAGATGTGCCCGGCCCCTGGCCCCAGCAGTCACGGGGGTTTGCAGGCCGGCCCTGTGTGAAATCCATGTTCAACCAATTACCAGTCACCCCCGGGGGAGCCATGATCGCTTTCATGCTTCATGGCCTCAGCCTGCCCTTGAGGTGGGGCGCAGCTCAGAGCCCCCACCCCACCTGGGTCCCCGCATCCACCTGAGCCTCTTGCTCCCCGGGGAGCTGTGCGGGCTCCTCACCCCGTGTCTCCTTCCTGCCTCCACCTCTTCACCAGCCTTCTTGGACCTGGTGTGGCGGCTCCAAGTCTGGGGCCGGCTGAGCACATGGGGCTGCGGCCTGTCGTCAGGGAAATAATGAGCCGGTGGAGGACGTGAAAGAGCACGAGCAGGACGTGGTCTGGCACCATAGGAAGAAGGCCCAGGGTGTGGCACCCCACACACAGCACACACACCCCACATACATACTTAAGCAGGTGTGTCCACGCACACACACCCCCACAGACACACCCGAACATGCCTGTCCACCCTCCCCCACATACACACCACACTTACACCACACACTCCATGCATGCCTGTCTACATGTGGACACACACCAACACACACACACACACACACCACTTACACCATAATATGCCCCACACACCCAAACATGTATGTCCACGCACGCTCACACTACCATCAGGTGCACACTACACATACGCTTACGCATACACACCCAAGCATTCCTGTCCACAGAGCACCACCTACACACCCAAGAATGCATGCACCACAGACGCATACCACATACACGCCACACACACACAGCCATGCACATCCACGCACGTATGTGCACACGCACCCTTAGCAGGGGGTGGTGAGGCGGTGGACACATGCCAAGCTGGAGAAGGGCTGCGGCCAGAGACTCCCCGCTGGAGGCTCTCGGGTTCGGGTGTGTGCGGAGCTGGCAGAGGAAGGAAGAAAGAGTGGGGTGCGGAGAGCATCACTGAGGCTGGGAGGGAGCCGGGGAGGAAGGCCAGCCATCTCAGAGGAGGGGAGGGGGCGCCTAGGCAGGGGACCAAGAGACGCCCACGTGCCAGGCTGAAGTTTGCCCTTTGTCCCGGGGCCAGCCTCCAGGATCCTGCCAGGGCTTGAGGAGTGCCCGGAGAAGGATCTTCGGGAGGCAGGTGCAGGAGGGATCTGAGAGGGCTGGGCTGGGCTTGGGCTGGCGGGTGGGCAGGAGGCATTGAAGGGAATAGACACTGGAGCATCATGGAGGGCAGCGGGGACTGACAGCCTTTGGGAAGAAGGAAGAGGCAAAGTGACTGAAGCTTCCAGACTGGCTTAGAACTTCTAAGTTGTCATCTTTGATAGAGACAAAAGGTGTGTCGGGTGTTGAATGTCAGAAGCCTGGGCAGGGTGGGAAATCCCTTGAAATTTTTGGGACCAGAGCGATAGCACAGCGGGGAGAGCGCTTGCCTTGCATCTGGCCGACCTGGGTTCGATTTCCGGCATTCCATAGGGCCCCCTGAGCACCGCCAGGAGTGATCCCTGAGTGCAGAGCCAGGAGTAACCCCTGAGCATCGCCGAGTGTGACCCCTGGAAATTGTTGGGGTGTGGGGTTCTGCCCCATGAAAGGGGGAGCCAGTGTGCTGGGCAGAGGAGGGCCTGTTGGGGAGAGCAGGTGGTGGCTGGGGGCCTTTGGCGATGATGATGGGGATGGAGCTCGGGAGCCGGCAGCCGACTGGGCACTGCAGACAGCAAAACCCAAGGGAACAACGAGGCCGACTGCGGGACTGTACCCAGCTGGGCCGATCAGCACCACGGAGAGCGACCGGCATGGAGTCGGGGCTCCGGGCAGGGGGCCTGCGTGGCCTACCTCGGCCCGGAGCAGGTGGACCTGTGTCGTCTGGGCCCCCTCCCCTCTGCATCTCCCATGTTCGGGATTGTCCCCCCACCCCAACACTGGGTCTCTCTTCAGTGGGGGAAAGGGAAGTCTAGAGGATACTTGACATTTCCCACTCCCTGCACCTGTCTGGCTGGAATACATTTCAGGGAAGTGTTTTTTTTTTTTTTACACCCAGCAATGCTCAGGGGTTACTCCTGGCTCTGTAGTTGGGATTTGCTCCTGGCAATGCTGGGGGACCGTATGGGATGCTAGGGTCAGCCACTTGCAAGGCAAATGTCCTCTCTGCTGTATCATCACTTTAGCCCCATCCCGGAGAGTGCCAAGGCCCCGTCGCCATCGTTTCCAGAATGGCAGGGCAGAAAGGAGGCTCTGACACCCACCCCTGCCACATACACACACACCCAGGGGCAACCTTCGTTTCCACTTTCTGGTTCATCAGGTCGGGGGCGGGGGGGCGGAGTAGGACGCATCAGAGCTGTGTGGCAGCCTGGCCCAGGACAGCCTCATTTCCCCAAGCCTCCCATCACCTTCCCACTCCGGGCCAGTCTATAGTGAGAGCCCAGGTGGGGCAGGGGGGCTTGGGCAGAGAAGCAAAGACCCACCCTGATTCCTGCTGAGGAAGCAGAGCAAAGGGGTCTCAGAGCCCACCTCCTCAGGCCCCGGGAGAAAGCAGAGCCGTGGACATTTTCTTTCTGGATCTTCCTAGCGTCAGGGCAACTGCTCTGCATTTGGATAGCGCTCAGGATCGACGCCCACACCCACACCTGTACCTCTGGCCCCTCAGCTCGACTGCCTGGGTGTGGTGCTGAGCTCACAGCAGAGGGGCCGGGGGCAGTGGGGGGTCTCATGATGCTCCTTTGTAGGAAATCTCCCCTTCTAAGGATCTTCTCTGTACCCTTCATGGCCCAGCTCATTTCCTGTCCTCCAGAAGACGCCCCCAACTTCCATCTGAGTCAAGGGTCCCCTCTGCATCCTACAGAGCCAGTGCCCCCTTTTCACAGACAGGCACGCACATGCACACAGCATACACACACATGCGTGCACATGCACACACCAACCCATGCCTGTGGCTTCCCTGAGTCAGAAGCCACTGGAGGCGAGGCCGGCTCTTGGGACAGTGGCAGCTGTGGGTGAACAAGTGGACCCGTAAGTGGAGGAACCGAGTCCCAGCCCCGTTGCCTGTCTGAAGCTCTGCCCAGTGCACCTCCCTGCCTTCCCGTTCAGGGGAGCCAGAGGAAGCTGCTGCCGGGGCTGGGCTGGGGCTGCCCCTGGGTCCTCCCGCTGCCTGGAGGCCCGAGGACCCCCCCATCGAGTCTCTGCTCCCATTCTGCATCCATGCAGAGCCCCGGGTGGGAGCAGCAGCAACCCTCCAGACCCCTATGTGGCCGCTCCGTTGTGGGGGTGACCCTCAGAGACAACGTCAGACCATGACAGGAGCCCAGGGGATCGCAGCTGGCCTGACCTGGAGACCTGGCACCAAGAAATTAAGGGGATGGGGTGTCCCCACCCTGAGGTCCCCATGATGGAATAGCAGAGGGTGCTGGCTCTGTCCCCTGCCCCAAGAACACCATTTCCATTCTAGCTCCTAAGCGCCTTTGATTCCTCACCTGGGGGTGGGGGGAAAGGGGGTTCCCATATCAGGCACCCCTCCTCCTCTCCCCTCTGCCTTTCTTTGCGGTCTTTGTTCCCTCCGCTGCCTCTCTGATCTCTTCCCCTTCCCAGCATCGGCTCTGCAGGGCTCTGCTCCCACTCTCCTCTGCTCCCTCCCGCCCTCTCCCCCTCTGCTCGGCCCGTGGCCTCGGTCTCTGCCTGTGTGTGTCTCTCCCCTTCTCTCCCAGTGAGTCTCCACCCCCCTCCCTACCTCTCTCCCTCTCCCTTCCCCCGCCCTCCCCCTCCCCCTCTGCATTATCAGACCTGCTCCAGCCTCCTCCCAGAGCCCGCCTAGCGGCAGAGGCAGCCAGAGAGGGAGGCGGGAGCGCCCGGGGAAGCAGGGCTGGGGATCGGGCGGTGGAGACCGGGCTGAGCAGGGCACAGACGCCTCTTCCCGGTCCCTGCGCCAGCCGGGCAAGGCACCCTGCCTGGAATCCCCGGCGGGGTGCACGGGGCGAGGTGCCACCTTGCTCTGGCTGGGGAGGCAGACGATGAAGAGTGATGGGGCAGGCGTGCGGCCACTCCATCCTCTGCAGGAGCCAGCAGTACCCAGCGGCACGGCCGGCTGAGCCGTGAGTACTATGGGGCACGGGGCGGAGGGGCTGTCCCGGGAAGCGGCGCTGCACGGGGTGCCACAGAGGGTCCCGTGAGCCCTCTGCGCTGGGGTTGGCGTGTAGCTGAGCCACGTGGGAGGAGCAATGCCGCCGAGGCGCCCAGTTACAGAACTGTAGCCTGGAGTGGGAGGCAGGGGGGTCTCTCCGGCAAGGGGCGCCTGGTGTCAGCCTAGGGGTGGGTTCCCACAGAAGGGCTACTGGTTCGTGAAGGGATTGGTAATGAAATCTCTCCTTCAGGTATTGGGGGGTCAACAAAAAGGGGATTCAGGAGCTCTGGGGGCTCAGACTCAATCAGGACCCTGGACAGGAATGATATCTCAGCCACGGGAAGGAAGTGTGTGTGTGTGTGTGTGTGTGTGTGTGTGTGTGCGCGCGCGCGCCTGTTTGTGTACGCATGCATGCATGCATGTGTACAGTGTGTGTGTGTGTGGGTCAGGGAGAACTCAGGAAACCGGAATAACAGTGACCCTGGGCAGGAGAGGGGCCAGCTGTGCCGCATGGAGCTGGCGTGGATTCACAGCCACCCATTTAGGCAACTTTGCCCCCAGCACCATCCCAGAGAGAGCCGTGCGGCTGGTGGAAACAAGGCCCCATGTGCCAGCTCGTGTGCGTGCACGTGCAGGGATCGCGTGGGCTGCAGTGGGGGGGGGATGGGGCGGAGGGGGGCTCCTCTGGGCGCCACCAAGAGGTCAGGCCAGCTACATGTGTGTGTCTTCGAGTCCCGAGGGGCAGGTGTGTGTCCTCAGGCTCCTCGGGACAGGTGGCTGTTCAGGTGTTGGGTGCGCGGGGACCCGGGTGGCAGGGCTCCATGGAGTGCTAGGGTCCTGGCTGGTCACCTTGCGGCAGGCTGTCGGAATATGCGAGCACCCTGGCCACAGAGCAAGAGTTTGCAGGTGCCTGGATGCAGTTTGTGTGTGCGCATGTGTGTGCATGCGTGTGTGCGTGTGTATGCACATACATATGTATACGTGCATGTGTGTGCATGTGTGTACAGGTCCGTGCTTGTGTGTACATGTGTGTGCTCATGTGTGCGTGCTGTGTATGCTTGTATGTGCATGCACGTGTGTGTGCATGTCTGTATGCATGTGTGAGTGTGTATGTGTACGTGTGCGCATACGTGTGTGTGCATACGTGTGTGTGCATGCTTATTTGGTTTCTGTGGCATGCATATTAGTACGGATGCTGTGTCTGCAAAAAGCGCAGCTCAGTCTTGAGCCTGTCGCCCGAGTCCACGTGTGTGCAGATACTGGGCCGTGTGTGATTGTCAGTTTTGCTGTATGGGTGCCTGTGTGTTGCTGTGTTAGTGGGAACCTTCTAGGGTTGTTGTGTGGCGACTCTGTGGTGGTCACGGGTGCTGACAGGTATCCGCGTGGTGGGGGCCCGGGCATCTGTGTGTGTGTGCGCGTGTGTTCACCTGAGTGTGGGGGTTGATGTTTGCCTCCTCTGGGTGCCTGAGGCTGCAGCTGGGACACGGCCCCCCAGGCAGGCGGGGGTGACTGAATGCCTCAGCACCTCCAGGAGTCCAGGACAATTCATTCTACACCCTGGGGGGGAGACGAGGAAAGAAATAGGCATCATTGCTGGGCCTCCTGGGCCTGCTAAACTTCCGGGACACGAAGTAGCTTGAGAATAATAAGCCACAGAGACCAGGACCAAGGAAACAGCAATGGCGGCAGCATGAGCTTGAGCAGGGAGGCTGGGGCGTGCGGGGCGGGGTGGGGGGCGCAGGGGTCCCTTCTTGCAGGACTTTGAACCCCAGGCCTCTTGGGCTCCATGCTGAGGGGGAGACGGCCTCAGTGGCACCATGAAGACTGAAGTGTGGGGAGTGGGGACTTGGCTCGGGGGTGCTCCCGGTAAGCAGCCCACCTGGGTTTGATCCCTGGCACCTGAGCTCCACCAGGAATGATGCCTGAGCGCAGATGTAAGCTCTGAATGCCCCCCCCAGAAGACTGAGCTGGGGAAGAAGCGGGTGGCAGCTGCCCCCAGCTGACCATGGGGGAGCCTGAGCTCCCGAGAGCCTCCCAAAGCAAGATATCGAAAGGACTTGGGGGGCCGGGTGGGAAAGGGGGCTCAGGGGTGCTTTGGACTACTTGGACGGGGGTGAAGGGCACAGTGGTGGGGCCTTGGAGCCCTTATAAGGCTCTGACTGGGCCGGGACAATAGCACAGCGGGGAGGGTGCCTGTCTCGCACCCGGGTTCGGGTTCGATCCCTAGAATCCCGTATGGTCTCCTAAGCCTGCCAGGAGTGATTCCCGACAGCAGAGCCAGGAATCAGCCCTGAGCATCACTGGGTGTGGCTCAGCAACCAGAAACTAAAGGATCTGAGCAGCGGGGCAGTGGGGAAGACCCCCGGAGGGTTTCAGCAGGGCTCTTCCCAGACAGGGAAACTGAGGCAGAGTCTTTTGTCACCGTCCCTTGGCTACAAGGCTGAGGCGCTTCCTGGAACCTGAGCCTCGGTGCCCTCCTCAGGCAGCACTCCTAGACCTCGTGGCCACCTTCGCCGGTGCTGGGAGGGTTAATCTCCGTGTGTTCCTTTGCACCCCAGCCCCCACCCACCCTGTAGCTCCAGCCTCTCTTCCTGCTTCCCACTACAGCCTCCTGTCCCCCGGGGGCTGCTGATGGCTTGGCTGGGATCTGGCCAAATGGGGGAGGCAGCGCTCCGCTCAGACAGTGCCCCTTCAGTCTTAATGGACTGGGAGTCCCCCCCCCCCCCCGCCCTCACCACCACCACCACCGCCACCCCACACAGGCTGCTGTCCAGCCCGGGCCATCACAGCATGCTTCAGAGCTGCCATCCTCCCTGGTTGCCCCATAATTGCCCCTGTCCCTACCCCCATCCTTCCACATATACCATTTCCACTCCACACAGCTCCCCGGGGCTGCCGGCCAGTCCTGGGGACAGAGATGGCCCTGGCCCCACCTGCTCTTGGGAGTATCAGGCCCAGGAAGGGCAACGGCAGTGGAGACCACCCAGTCCTGTAATGTGAGCAGGGCCGTGGGGAGTCAGGGGCTTTGAACACACCTGGCCAGGGCTTTGGAGGAAGGAATATTGGACCTAACTGGTTGTTGTTTTTCTTTTTCTTTTGTGTGTGTGTGGGGGGGGGGGAAGGGGAAGGGGTTAGTCTGTTTTTGTCTGGGGCTATGCCTGGTAGTGGCCAGGGCTAAGTGATGTTGGGGATAGAGCCAGACCTCCTGCACACAATCTGCCCTTTAACCCTCTGAGCTGTCTCAGGGCCCTGGGGACGCAGTTCTTTAGGGTCTCTGAGATGCCAAGCAGAGAGGCTGGGAGTTACCCTACAGGAATAAGGAGCTGGGAAAGGCCTTTTGAAGAGAAAGTCCCCCCCCTCAGGCAGCCCTCCTTGATTTTCCCTCCCTCTGACCCCCATAATCTATCCTGATCTCTCTCTCTCTCTCTCTCTCTCTCTCTCTCTCTCTCTCTCTCTCTCTCTCTCTCTCATAATACAGAATCAAGAATGCTTCCTAGGGGCTGGAGACATAGTGGGTAGGGTACTGACCTCACACGTGGCTGACCCTGGTTCAATCCCTAGCACCCCATATGCTCCCCTGAGCCCTACCAAGAGTCACCACCTATGTGCAGAACCAGGAGTGAGCCCTGAGCCCCACCAGGTGTGCCCCCTACCCAAGGATGCCTCCCAGGCTGCCTTTCCCTTGAAGCCCCTGTGTGTGAGAGCCTTACTGGGCCAGCCAAGAGGTCCCTGAAGGCAGAAGCATCTCTCCAGCCATGGCCACGGGCACCTGTGCTTAGTGCAGCCTCTGAGTGGGCGAGCAGATGAGGGGCCTGTCCAGCCCTCGCTTGCCTACCTGGGGGCCAGGCACCCATTCCCTCCCTGCTCTAGAGAGTGCATCTTCCCCGGGCCCTTCATTCATGTGCAGCTTCTCGGGCACCCTGGTAGGGCCTCCTATGCCCTTTCCCCTGGGCACAGGGGGCAGGATGGCTCCAGAGGGCTCCAGATACCCTGGGACCCGGCAGAGACAGAGCCTTTGCTTCCACCAGAGATGGTGAAAGGCAGGTAGGCACGTGCCCCTCCAGACAGAGATGGAGAAACAGCACGGACAGAAAGGGGAGTGCGGGGAAGCAGGAAGAAGCTTCTCGCTGTACAGAGCAGGTGGGCAGTCTCGCGCTCAGAGAGCTGGGCTGTGGTCTCAGGGGCAGTCCCCTCCAGGAGGGGCAGTGGAGACAGAGGCCCTTCTCTTCTTGGCCCTCCTGCGGGTGAGAGGAATCACCCAGGGAGAAGAAGGTTGGGAGGGCAGCAGGCTCGTTCATTTATTCATTCATTTATTCGGTTACTTAGCAGCCTCTGGCCAGCCCCACAGCCCTGCAAGAAAGGGGGTTGGGGCTAGTGGCCCCGGGGAGGAAGCCCCTGAATGCTCCCACCCATTGCTGCCAGCATTAGGGGCAGGCATTTAAGGAGAGGGGACAGAGTTGCTTCTCTGGCAGAAGGGAGGGGCAGCTCCAGGAAGAGGGGGGATGCCAGTGACTAGGCTGGGGGGGTTGGTGTGTGCTGGGAGGACGTGGTGTGTGTGTGTGTGTGTGTGTGTGTGTGTCTGTCTGTCTGTCTGTCTGCTTCTCTCAGTGACATCTGTGTGTGTGTTCCGCTCTTGCAGTGACCTGTACGGGAGCCGGGGGGAGGGGGAGGGGAGGCGCACATGGCAGGGCACCTGTCGACCGTGGACAGAGCTCTGCATGGCTCCCTGAGTTCTGTTGCCAGGGCCCAGCCCCCATGATCGCCAATCACCACACCACTAGGTGAGAGCACCAGGCCAGCGAGCCTGGGCATCCTTGGGAGCACACCCAATGAGTGTGGCCCCTTGGGTAAAAATAAAACGGGCCAGAGCAGTAGTACAGCGGGTAAAGCACTTGCCTTGCATTGCGGCTAACCCAGGGTTCGACCTGTGGCATCCCATACGGTCCCCTGAACGCCGCCAGGAGTGGTTCC